TTTCATTTTGGATGTGTAAACATGGCCTTCTTGAGACAAGAAACTGCACATTTCTCTTCAGAAAATAAAATTTTCCCAATCGAAAACACATCTTCCTCTGTCATTCAAAACTATGTGCAATCTGAAACGAAAAGTTACCGTTTCTTTCCTTCCCCAACGTCCATCACTGGAGTTTTAGCATGACATCCCCCCTCCCTATTTTTCCAATAAACAATAATCAGTTTTTTAGCAATATAGTATTTTACTAAATTTTAATCTGGAAGATGCTTTCTAGCCCTTTTACAAGGTATAATTTCAAAAATTTTCTTCACGTCGGACCCAACCATGGTGGGTCCTCCTACCCCGCTAAACTTGATATGCCATGAAATACAAGCTTTATTACAAAGGAAAATCAAATTTGACATTCAATTTACGCTCACGTAAAAAATAGATATTTCATAGGCAATGAAGTTTCAAATTTGTTTTTATTGCTTAGAAGTTTGTTCTTGGTAAAGACAAATTTACACTGGTAAAGCTTTTACTAGTAACCTATAGACAAACCTTTGCTACGAGGTCTGCAGGGCACCACTCATTTTCGCAGGGCAGGGCAGAAACCATTTTTGTGGTAAAAAACTTCGTTCGAGATAGCCAATAGTTCGAGTTAAGCGAGTTCGGTATAATGAGTTTTATTTCTATACCAAGCCCCATAGGAAAATGAGAGGAAATGGGAATCTTTTCGAGTTTTTCGAGATAACCGAGTTTGAGATAGCGAGATTCAACTGTAATCGAATGGTTTTGATTGGATTTGGTCATGAAGAAGCAAAGAAGATTTAGGAGCGCCAACCCAAAATATAAAAGGAGTACTCCAGAGCCGACAAATTAGAGATTTGCAGATTGTAAAAAGTTGAGGGGGTGATATGAACCAAAGCTTTTGAGATGAGGATCGTGCTTTAGAAGAAGATCGAGATTTCGAAATTGATATTGGCATATACAGAAGGGCCTATTTTCATTCAGCACAATGGTTCTTTAACTATAAGGCTACATTTAAAATATAACATAGCATAACATAATTGTGATAAGGAATTAGAATTATCTAAGTCAGTACCATTCATGGAAACTGGAGAAAACTCAGGGCTTCGCCTGCGTTAAATGGCAATCTTACGTACGGACCTGGGTTGTATCACTTTGATTTAGCCTAACGAGAATGTCTTTAATACAAATTATCTAACAAGGTTTTACATTTTACGGATCGTAGCCATCATTTTTGTTGATATGTTAGCATGTTCTTGATATTTTACAAATTTTGAGGATTGTCCTCTTAAAGAATTTTCCTTAGTAAAAAGAGGCTGAACGATTTAGAAAAATATTTACAGAATTTGCTAAAGCTAGTTTGACAGATTTTCATCAAAAGCTGAGGGGCAGTGAATTCAATGGATGTTTTCACGCAGATGAACGGGCTGTAAGCAGCAATAAACTATGTATTCCACAGAAAGCTTTTGGTGATGAATTAGGCGCACCTTCCAAACTCAGAAAGAGAAAGCAATCTCCTTCCATCCTCGAATCTTTAGAGCTCCTGCAGAGACGCCAAGGTTTCATGCGCAATTTAGAGATTGCCTTTTTTTAGTATATTGGCCAAACTACTAAATATCTTAAAATGCTGCATGAAAGTAAAATACCGTTAATCCTCGAATAAGTCCCTTAGGGCTTATTCATTTTTCGTGTTTTTGGAGGGGGGGAAATTCGAGAGTGGGGGCTTATACAAGAAGGGGGCTTATACAAGGAGGAGGCTTATGAATTGTAGTAGACATAAAAAACACATTATTAAAAGACCTCATATATTTTAGTATAAATTCTTTATTAACATTGAATGAATAATTACCAAAAGTATGAATTTTTGTCGTAATCCAATAAAACACCAAAGGCAACTTCAGATGGCTTCTTATAAGTTAGTTCTTTACAGGGCTTCTTATAAGAAGCAGTTTAAAATAAATTTTCACTAAAATTCGGGGGAGAAAAGGTAAAATATATATATATTATATATATCATAGAGTTGAAGAAAGTAAAACTACATGGTTTATCTCTACAAGCCTGTTTCGTGAGTAACTCACTCTTCAGGAGACGCTCTACGTGCTAACGTATTGAACACTGTGCTACGGAAGTATCAAAAGACAAATTTCTATATTATATATATATATATATATATATACAGAAAGCTTTTGGTGATGAATTAGGCGCACCTTCCAAACTCAGAAAGAGAAAGCAATCTCCTTCCATCCTCGAATCTTTAGAGCTCCTGCAGAGACGCCAAGGTTTCATGCGCAATTTAGAGATTGCCTTTTTTTAGTATATTGGCCAAACTACTAAATATCTTAAAATGCTGCATGAAAGTAAAATACCGTTAATCCTCGAATAAGTCCCTTAGGGCTTATTCATTTTTCGTGTTTTTGGAGGGGGGGAAATTCGAGAGTGGGGGCTTATACAAGAAGGGGGCTTATACAAGGAGGAGGCTTATGAATTGTAGTAGACATAAAAAACACATTATTAAAAGACCTCATATATTTTAGTATAAATTCTTTATTAACATTGAATGAATAATTACCAAAAGTATGAATTTTTGTCGTAATCCAATAAAACACCAAAGGCAACTTCAGATGGCTTCTTATAAGTTAGTTCTTTACAGGGCTTCTTATAAGAAGCAGTTTAAAATAAATTTTCACTAAAATTCGGGGGAGAAAAGGTAAAATATATATATATTATATATATCATAGAGTTGAAGAAAGTAAAACTACATGGTTTATCTCTACAAGCCTGTTTCGTGAGTAACTCACTCTTCAGGAGACGCTCTACGTGCTAACGTATTGAACACTGTGCTACGGAAGTATCAAAAGACAAATTTCTATATTATATATATATATATATTGTAATCAATAAATGTATTCGTCAGTCTGCGTCATTTGCAAAAACAGCATCTGAATTCACCGCAAAATTGTGCGCATTTTTGCATGTATTGGAACTGCGCATAGTGAAAAAGCCACTATCTCTTTAATTCAAACTTCCGAAAAAATTACTGTTGATTTCCTTTGCGCTTCCAAAATAAAACAACAATGCGTTTTTCTATATAGACGAACTGGTGTAATATTGACATTATGGCTTGGATTGCCTGCTTCATACAAACATTATGGTCTGAATAAAGTCGAAATGCAAATGCTATATTTGTCAATCTGTTTGGGGTCTCATCTACAAGCTGACCCCGTTTTATTGAATTTCATTTCGATACATATCGGGTAGATAGCGATACATATCCACATCCCTACTGGTCTTCTCAATGTTTTTAATTGATTTCCTAAATTTCTACTTACATTAAGGCCTTAAGCGCCTACTATAACTTTACTTAAAGGGATGGCGGGGCGAATGGCCTTGCAATGGCAAATTTGAAATGTAAACAAAAAACACGAAATAAATAGAAAGATCGTCAGCATGAATTTGTAGCTTTATCTAAAAAAGAAACTTCTGACGAAAAGCTCCTCCTCCCCTCCAGCCCTCGGCTCGGTCACCTTTCTACATAATGAGCTTGCTAGGCGGTTTCGTATATTGCCTTCTACTTACCAAGATATTGGGAGAAGCTCTTAAATTCTAACTCGACTGCCATTATAAAGCAATCTTGGCCCAAAATAAAGAATTGACGTTTTCTCTTTTCGCATGAATCTCAAAACTATGAATGAGATTTATTATTCGGCGACAAGAACAAACAAAAATCGCTCGCCTTTACTATCCTCTAATCTTGCGTTACTGCTGTAGCTGTAATTGGTTCTGTATATCTACACGCAACAATAGTGGATCAATTAAAAAACATGAGGAGTGCGACTGATAGCAATTTAAAGAAGAGTTGGCTTTATTCGCCAATAACAAAGCTCTTGACCTGACTTTCTTCGAAAACTGTGAACATTTCTTCATGATGTCGAGAGCTCAAAGCTAATAATTTGCTATACAATATTAAGAGCTGGTGCATGACTTGTTCAGCAGTGGATGTTTGGACGATTACAGAAGTTAATCATTTGTTAAGATTTTGTCAAAAGTTTATGCCTATACATGCCAGAAGTATGACCATAATTTCTTAAGACGAGTTCAAAAATGGATTCAAAAAGTTTCAAAAATCTACGATTTGTTAAGAAGATGCTAGGAGCAGATGACGGGTTTAGAAGGAGCAAGAAGTGGATATATTTTTGAGAAGATGCTAAAAGTTGATTAAATCTTAAGAAGTTGCAAGAAGTGGCAGTGGATTGTTAAGAAGCTAATGACTTGATAAGAAAATGCAATGTAAGATGTGGGTTAATTGTTGAGAAGGTGTCGGAAGTTTACAACAATTTAAGATGTTACAAGAAATGGACGACTTGATATGAAAATGCCAGATGTGGATGACTTGACTAGAAGATTCCAGAAGTGGATGACTTGATAAGAATATGCAATGTAAGATTTGGGTGAATTGTTGAGAAGGTGTCACAAGGTTACACCATCTTAGAATGTTACAAGAAATGGACGACTTGATATGAAAATGCCAGATGTGGATGACTTGACTAGAAGATTCCAGAAGTGGATGACTTGATAAGAATATGCAATGTAAGATTTGGGTGAATTGTTGAGAAGGTGTCAGAAGGTTACAACATCTTAGAATGTTACAAGAAATGGACGACTTGATATGAAAATGCCAGATGTGAATGACTTGACTAGAAGATTCCAGAAGTGGATGACTTGATAAGAATATGCAATGTAAGATTTGGGTGAATTGTTGAGAAGGTGTCAGAAGGTTACAACATCTTAGAATGTTACAAGAAATGGACGACTTGATATGAAAATGCCGGATGTGAATGACCTGACTAGAAGATTCCAGAAGTGGATGACTTGATAAGAATATGCAATGTAAGATTTGGGTGAATTGTTGAGAAGGTGTCAGAAGGTTACACCATCTTAGAATGTTACAAGAAATGGACGACTTGATATGAAAATGCCGGATGTGAATGACCTGACTAGAAGATTCCAGAAGTGGATGACTTTATAAGAATATGCAATGTAAGATTTGGGTGAATTGTTGAGAAGGTGTCAGAAGGTTACACCATCTTAGAATGTTACAAGAAATGGACGACTTGATATGAAAATGCCGGATGTGAATGACCTGATAAGAAGGTGCAAAAATTGGATGACTTGTTAAGAGGATTCCAGAAGTGGATGACTTGATAAGACCATACACAGCGTGGATGTATTGTTGAGAAGATATCAGATGGTGACAACTTTTGAGGAAGTTGCAGAAAGTTGATGCATTGTTGAAACGATGTCAGAAGTTGACAAGATCTTAAGAAGTTGCAAGAAAGTGACGAATTTTTGAGCAGATGTCAGAAGTTGACAACTACTTAAGAAATTCATAAAGTGGTAGACTTTAAGAAGTTAACATTAAGAAGATGCTAAAAGTAGGTGACTTTAAGAGAATGCAAAAAAGTGAATGATTTGTTGAGAATATGTCAAAAGTAGACGGGATCTTGAGAAGTTGCAAGAAGTTGATGAATTGTTGAACAGATGTTAGAAGTTAATCATTTCTTAAGATAGTGTCAAAAGTTGATGCCAAAACATGCCAGAAATAGATTTTGTTGAGATGTTGCAAGAAATAGATGTCTTGATATAAAAAATGTCAGATGTGGATAATTTCTTGCAATTTCTTGCCATATGCTGCCATACCATAGCACATCTCATTCCTCGAATAGCGTTTCTGTACACAAACAGGCGAACATTTGGTTAATGAATTTGAAGGAGACCGCATAACATGCAGTAAAAATAAGGCAAAATGAAAAGGCAGATGATACTAAATTGTCTAAAGAATATTGAAAACTGACCTTCCTATTGCTCAGTTACTATACATTCGATATTTACAAGAGACGTTTAAAATCGATTGCATGGTCAGTTTTGAGACTCGAGGTACAAGGCGGATGCAATAAAGCAATAAAGATACAAAGAACTTTACTAAATGCATATGTTCATGCCAATTATGTAGTGGGTCGCGGGGAACGCATATATGTGTATATATATTTATACAGAAACTTGTCTGTTGATAGTTCCGTAGCACAGTGCTCAATACTTTTGCACGTAGAGTGTAATATAGCATAGAGAGTGAGCTATTCACGAAACAGGCTTGTAGAGATAAAACATTTAGTTTTATTTTCTCCAACTCTATGCTATTTATATATTTATATATTTATATATTTATATATATGTTTCCTGGGCCACCTATTATTGCTTTTAAGAAGATGTAAGAACCTTAAGGACATTTTGGTCAGGGCTAGGCTCAGTAATCGGGGACAAGGGGGCACACATATTAAGGGATGTTCTGGTTGTGGTAAAGCTCGTTGTCAAGTGTGTAATGTCACGAGTAACTGTGATAGTTTTAAGTCTAAGGTAACTGGTAAGGAATATAAGATAAATTACTCGTTTAACTGTGATTCGCCTAATGTTGTGTATTTGTTAGAGTGCAATGTTTCTGGTGTGCAGTTTGTTGGTTGCACTAACACGCCCTTTAGATTAAGGTTTAATAACTACAAGGCATGTAATCGTAAGTTCAGTCAGGGATCCTCAGTTCCTCAGGCGGAATTTTTTCAGGCACTTTTCTGGAGAAGGCCACCGGGGTTTTCTACAGGATATAAGGGTTAGTATAATTGATAGACTTACTGGGGGGAATAGGATGCGAGAAAGCTTCTGGCAGTATAAGCTAGACAGTTTTTCTCCTAAGGGCTTAAACACTAGACATGTTGATACATAGGTTTTAGGCTATTTCTTTGCATGTATTTTTTTTCTCTCTTCTGCCACTAGCACATGTTTTTTACGTTCTTTGCGTATCTATTATTCTTCTTAAACAGGTGTTCCTTTCTGCTACACATATCATTTGAAGCCCCCGTGAGACTTGCATTGCCGCCTACTTTAGCAGCACCTTCTCCTGTGCTTTCTTCTAACCCTCCCGTTGAGTTACACTTTTAACAATAACTATTGTAATAGGCCATTTTTCCTTTAACCTCCTCATTGTATTCACTTTATTGTACCAACTCTATTGTATTAATTCTATTGTATTGATTTTGTATATGTTAGCTCCATTTGATTTGTAAAGTATTACTGATGAAGACTTCGGTCGAAACGTTTAAGCGATAGTGTTTTTTCTGAATATCTATATTATTTTTATTACATTATGTGAATATATAGACGCTTTTCCGTAACTTTTTGCTATACAAGGCATGCTCGTTTCCCTGTGATTAGTGTGCTGATTTCTATTGCTTGCGGCCTCGAAATGATGATGACTCAACGTCGTCAGCAAGCTATGATTGTCCCAGAAGGGAAGTTGGGACAGCTTTTAGCAAAAACAGTCGACCCTTTGTGGCATCGTGTACTTTTGATACAGATATAGCAGCAATAAAAATGTATTGCTAATGGAAATAATGCAATTGTTTTTCTTTGCATATCAGGGCCCTGTGCTCCTACCTTGAAGTTACCTTCACAAGCACACTACTTAATGAACGTCCAAGCACAATCCTGAGCGAGTCCAGAAAAGTCTAAATAGCACTAAAATAAAGCCAAATTATCCAACTTTTATGATTTTGACTTCAAAAAGCAGAAGCTCGGCAAAAGACTTTCATAGCCAACGTATCTAATCTGAAACTCAGGCTAATAGCTTAATCAACTGACAAATAACCAGCAGAAAATTGATTAATCAAAAGAACGCTGTCTATAGCACACATAAAACGTAGTGGTTAGCAATGCCGGAGTCAAGGGAGGTAGGCTTTGCAAGGCTTCAACTTCCATGGCTAGGGGGGTTTTGCCCGAGTGCCCTGAAATAAATACAAAGCAAGCAGAGAAAGATCATCTATAACTGGCAACAGCTGTTTAGCTTGATGTGAGGCCTTCATTCTATTGACTCTAGACCAGGAGTGTAGAGCTAGGGGGCTCGGTGTATCGGGGGCTGAGCCCCCCATATTAATGCCAAAAATTAGCCAATTTTTTAATTTTCCTGCTGTTATTAGCAACACTATACGCATCTCTTATTTTTTGTAGCAACAAATAAACGAATTTTTGTGTACGAAGAAAATCTTTTTATTTCGACGTATCATTACTGTCTACAACAGCATCTAAACAGTACCTGTATTCTTCGTACACAGCGACAGGATACCTACCTATTCAAATAGTATGAGGGCATACCCTTTGATCGCTTTGGTGGATAAACTTAATTTTCAGATTATGCAGTCAGTTTCTGATAAGATTAATTTTCATACCTAGTATTGACACTCCAATCCACATCACATTATTTGATCCATATCACATCTAAAACAATAGAAAGCAGAAAATGAAATAGGCAACACTAGGGATAAAAATTGAATGTGCTGAAGTTTGAATTTTTAAGCAGTGGTGCCGTGGAGGGTGGGGGGGGGGTGGTGGTTGATGATCTCAGCAATTGTTTATAGGTCTTTTTGTGTCATCGAATACTACACACAACGGAGAGTCTTCAACACAAATGCATGTATATTGGCTGTGGTAAGAGTGTGGTCATCGATGTGGCCTCTTGAATTAGCCTACAGCACAGCTGCATTCCAGCAGCCCATAAAACTCGGAGGACGATACATCAAATAATAAAAATGCACAATTTTACATTTCTAAAGGATAAACATATAAACCTGCAACTATCTTTCACCAAAAGAGTTTTTAATTAGCAACTCACATTTGTAAGCTTCACATCTGATTTTGGGTTTGTTTACAGAACACAACTAATTTGTGAAAATCTTTCCCTTACAACGTCAAAAAACGTTGTCTTCACTGAGGTTAAAACATATTTTACAAGGATGAAATGCTGACAAGAAACGGGTGTCTTTTACCTTTATAAATGTTTTAGAAATATGTCATGACTGCCGCCTTTTAGTCCTTGTGCAACTACCCCTCACTGTTTAGCAAACCCAGTTATTGATTTGGTTGTGATTTTTTTCTCAAAATCGAGGATATTTGTGTGGGTGCTTTTTCGGTGAATATTCAAACTTGTCGGCATATGAAGGTTGTCTCGCTCACTTTGTTGGCAAATGAGGCCTGAATAACTCCCTAGAACGAAAAAGCTATCACTCGCAATGTTTACACCCTATCAAATCAAGAACAAATTAAGAACAATCCAGCTTCAGATTTTCGAAAAATTAACAACAGTCAGCCTGAACTTAAATTCGCTGGTTTTTATAAAAAAAGAGTGTATATTGATTCAGCAGCAGTATGTTGTCTTATTCTGCGCTCCAATATATGTTTCTGGTATCCAAAGAAATTCAAACCAAAATCTGCCCTCAAATTTGTGTGTTTCTGGTATCCAAAGTAATTCAATCAAAAAAGGAATGATTAACAGAACATGGAACGGTTTATTGATTTTTGTAGTTTTCTGGAAGCAGCTCCAGAGCTGTTTTCTAGAAGCTGTGGAGGGGTAGAACGGATTTGGGGTCTTGGGAATAAGGACTGGCGTAACGCGGATTAGGACACCTTAGTTAGAACGGGGCCCCGAACAAAAGGAGCCACCAAATGATTTCCAGATCCATTTTTACTCAAGTTCACCTTATTTTTCGAAACTTGATATTGACATTTTTACATTTAGTTATTGTGTTTGTCATGCTCTGCACCATTTGGTGGGGCGTTCTTGACGTCCGTAAATAGGGGCCCGTCTCTGTTTTCCCTTAGGGCCCCAGATACCTGCCACTGGGGATAAGCTCCAAAGGAAACTTTTCAGGACCATGACTTTATTTCCTTAAACCTATGCCTTTTGTAAAATAACACCCTTCTGTGCCTTTTTGAGCTACAGAAGAGAACAGCCTGTTATTTTCGGTATATGCATATATGAACTTGGTTATTAAAAATCCACTCGATCAATATTTAGCTGATTGACTGGAGTCTGAGCCCTCGCCCAAGAAACAAAATCTACTACACATTTAAACATTTAAGGGCAAACGAAGCCGGCCAAAAGATTTAGTAAGGATGGATGCTGCAACAGCTCGATTGAATGTATATTTTCTGCATTCCATATTCATTCTATCCTTAAGATCAACTAACAGGTAGTGGCTTGTAAAAATGTGCACTGAAAAACTGTAACCATTCAAATAAACAACCCCTTACTTTCAGCACCCCTTCGAAAAGCCGCTGTTGCAGCGCCCATTCTTGCATGAAAGCAATAAATTCAAAAGAATGTAGCAGGTATTATTTCAAAAGAATATACTAGGTATTACACTCTTTTTTTATAAGAACCAGTAAATTTAAGTTCAGGCTGACTGTTCTTGATTTTTTCGAAAATCTGAGGCTGGATTGTTCTTAATTTGTTCATAACCTAATAGGGTGTAAGCAGTGCGAGTGTTAGCTTTTTCGCTCTAGGGAGGTGTTCAGGCCTCATTTGCCAACAAAGTGAGTGAGACAACCTTCATGTGCCGAAAAGTTTGAATATTCGACGAAAAAGCACCAACACATCGCTAAAAATCCTCGATTTTGAGAAAAAATGTTGTTCAAAATTGCATTTTGCAGAAGCTCAGCCTCAGCTTGTTCTTAATTTGTTCTTAACTTTTGACCAATTTTGAGGCTCGTGTTCTTATAAAATTGTTCTTATAAAAAAGGAGTGTATTTAAAAAAAATGTACCAGGAAGTATTATTTCAAAGTGCTAAGATCTGTGCACGGTAACAAAATTCTGAAAATATCATTGTGGCAAACGCCAGCCTTTTGACCTTTCAAAGAAAGCTTGAGCAAAATTTAAAGTTCCTATCAGTTCTTCTTAAACATCTATTAGTGTTTTGGGAAAATTCTTGATTATACTTTTTTTTACAAAGATTTAAGTGTTTTCCTCAACATGCAGTATCCTTATTTCTTTCTCCTATTCATTTTTTCAGGACCGCCCTAATGATCAGTACTAAAGGGCTAGAGGCTAAGGTTTATAAAACGTATTTGCTTCTCTACCTTGAACGATTTGGACTTTTCAGCATGACAGCTCTCATCGAATGTTGACATAGTAATATTGAATCAACAACAAATGACAGCAAAAGAACTAGAACTGACAGCAGCTCGTCATTTTTGGACCGGGGATCATTCGCAGCCACTGTGAGCGGCAGCGGCGAACTTTCTTGAAAATAACAGGAGCCTAAAAAAGGAAAGAAATGTTTGGAAATGAAACAAAAACGAGCAAGATCCATCTTATGCAAGCTATTGTCAAGCAGTTACAGAAAGAAGTTAACACAGAGAGACAGAAAATATCAAAATCTGCTCAAGAGTAAGTAGCTAATTCAAAGACGTGGCCTAGACTCGCTGACTACTCGCCATTCCTTGAAAATAAAGCTGAAAAATAAATAAGTCTCAGCTCTACATAATGCCTGTTCGGTATACTAGTAAAGACGCCAGTTGGGTCGTTTAAAAACGATATAATTTTAGAAGCTTCGCAATTTTATACAGGATTCTAAACAGAGGGCAAAGCTTTCAACAGCTATAAACAACTTCCTTGTCCCAGAATTTGGTCATATCCAGATAAAAAACCACTATCATTGAATCTCTGGTCGACTCGATTTTATTTCATTCATTCAAAATTAGCATCAATCTTCCGTAACAGACATGTTTGGTTAAAATGCAACACTTTTCAGAATTGGCAAATAACAGCAAGAGGTTAGGATTGTGAACTCGAGGTTTACCATCAGTTAAATGTCTCATTTCCAGTATTTCCCACAGACCTTAGCCACAATAACTCAAAAAGACGCACTGCGTCAAAAAACAACAGCAGCTATCGATTTTCCAATCATAATGGTTTAAGAAAAATCCGTCTTCAAAGTGGGTTCAGCTTGGTCTCGGTGCATCACTTTTACTTTTAACCCAAAAGGAAACTATACACTTCCGAATTTTGTTAAATAACAACTGCAAACTTCGTCATTTGTCAACAGCATAAATGAATTGATATATCTTGAAATATTCTTCAATTCTATTTATTGCATTGGGTCTCTAAACAAACGAATAAACAAACTGAAATGTTTAGAAATGCTAAAAAGCAGGTGTCTTTTGCAAACAATCAAATAAAAAGAGGCTTATATCTTCTAAAATCTCATCATTTACGTCTCTAAAAAACTTTCACATGTGCAAAAGGAAGAATTATTTCTTCAGAACTTTAATGTCAAAAAGCACCTCGCGAGACAAAACCAAATGCTTGTGCTGCTTTTCTATATGAATCAAAATATATTTACTATCTAAAATAAATTAAAAACTAAAGAATAGAAACCCTATCTTGTGCTTTGTTCCAGAATGAGCTCTGCGTTATAATTTCTTTTTATGTGAGGAAATTTTCGCATTTTATAAAAACGTCAGGAATAAGTGGCCGCCCTACATTCTTGCTAAAGGCGACTCAGTTCTCCAAAAATTCTTCTGCAATATTTGGGTGTCAATACCTTATTATCTAGGTGTAACGACTTTGATTATTCTAGAACATCTGCCAATAATAACCACCAATGATTTGCCGAGCTGTGCTAGTCGCAGTGCACGATCAGCGATTGCTGCTTGGGATCTTTCATAGAAAAAATTATCATTTCGTCTTCAATATTGTCAAAAATACCGTCAAACTGTTTGTTTCTGAAAGTATAACCCCCACAAATATATAGAAGCGATTTTTCATCTTACGATTCTTGGTCACCATATTCTAACCACATGTTCCCCCTTTCATCTTCTCAAGGATAGTTGATTTCTGTGAACAAGAACAAGACAATGACCCGATGCTGCTGAGAGGGACGCAGCGAAGGACGTTTGGGAGAGATGGCAGTGGGACTACGACCTGTTGCGGCCTCATATGAAGATGCTGTCAAGTTACGACAAAATTGTTCAACGACCTTGCTGCTAATACTGGAAAAATATGGTGGGAAAGGAATGGATTCATTGCATCCATCAAAGATTTGAAACAATTGATATAATATAAATGAATATAACGTGTCAGCCATAAAATCATGTAAGACAAAATTTGTTTTACACTTATCAAAAGTTGTTCGTTCTTATAGCTTACAAATATTTAGTCGATGTAGGAGCTCAAACGAATAATCAATTTTCGCGCGAAATCCTTTTCTTATTGTAAAATCTGAGTGACTGGTCAGCATTTGAAAACCTGAAGCTTAGTGAAATTTCTTGACATGGACACTCAAAGCCCAATATTCTATGAGTGACTTCAGAAGCATAGCATATGGCAGAAGCTGACACAAATCTCGAGAAGCAAGCCTGGTCACTAAGTGTCAGTAATGTAGGCACCCACCCCTACCTGGAATAGGAAATGACTTTTCTAATGGCAATTATAATTTTCTGGAGATTTAATTGACCTTGCAAGTTTTGAAATTTTAAGGTTACTAAGAGGACTGGCGGGCTAAAATGATTTATTTGGAAGTTGAGAAGTTTTCTAATATTTTATGCAAAAAATGATCTCCTCAACCTGTTATTGACTGGATTGGATTGACGTCCAATTGAAGTAAACATAGAAGTAATAATGAAGTTGGAAATAGTGAACATAAAATTTCAAAACATTTGAGAGAAGGTGCTTTATACCCATGTAATAAAATTATTTTGGAAACTTAAAATTAAACTGATAATAAAGATGAGTTTGGAAAACGCATTTGTTTGCACTTTAAACAAACAGCTGTGCTGTCACCGAGCTGCAATTTGACATTTAGTAATTACTAAGTTTCGTGTTATTTGCACCGGCAGGTCGTATCGAAATTTGAGCAATAAAGTCTTCCATAACATGCAGTAATGCAAGCCAATTATTCTGCAGTAATGCAAGCCAAATAAAGCGCGAGAAAGTAAACGAGAGGGCCCTACGACTAGCCCTCTCAGATTACACCTCATCGTATTCTAAACTTCTAGTCTAGGCTAAATCTACTAAAATTCATAATCATTCTATTAGGTTGCTAGCACCTGGGACGGATTTAGTGTGGGTTGTAGGGAGTGCGACACCCCCCCCCCAAATATCTCTGTATCCTTATGAAAATCTCAGAAAGTTGGTGTCTGAGAAAAGTGCAAATCTGCAATAAAATTAGTACCTCTGGGGGGGGGGGAGTTTATATTTCAGACGATATTAAACGTTATTAAAAACTGCAAGCAAAAATTTTCTGCTCACTTCTCTCGAAGAAGGCCCTCGTCTGTATCTCTACAGAATCTTTTACAATTTCCCTTCGTTTTAGGGTTTATTTAGAAAACTCTTTCACGTTCTTGAGACATTCCCGAATAAAAAGAAACTTAAATGCTAAAGCGCTTCAATCTGGATTAAAACAGCTGGATTATGAAATGCTTGTCGGGGATTTTGCTCCAAGGACTTAGTTTAAAACTTTTGAACACTGTTTATTACAGGGCCTCCGACGAAAGAGGAGGGCGCGGGTTCATGGCCCTCCTTTTTTCAAAGCAATAAAACTTTTCATGAAATCTTTTTAAATCCCTTGCCCCCCCCCCACTTTTCAACCCGTGTCGGAACCCAAGTATTATTTTTACATATTTGCTTACAACTTTGGAAAATCAGTTTATACATGCAGAGCCTCCCCGCCTTCAGAATATAACGTTAGGGGAATTGTGAAGGAAATAGACAGTTGTAGAATGGGGTCAGCCACAAAAAGGTACATATGACGGTTATTGTGTTTGATTAGCTGACCACTGCCACGTAAAAAAGCCAAAGCTTTTCCAAACGCATTTACAAAATGGGGTGTTTTCACGAATTCTTAAGGGTGTGGTCAACGAAAAATTTTCTTCTCTTTGCCCCTCCAAACTTTCAACCCTGGCTACGCCACTGATTTTTATCTCTTTTACCAGTATGAATTTTCAAAATGGGCGTCACTATAATTTCCATGTTACCTGGAGGGTGTGGCAACGAAATCCAATTATTGTCTAACTCCCCCCCCCCTAATCATTGTTGCTTAAATCCACCCCTGTATAGCACTAGAAGTTTACAAAAATTTGCACAAATTGAATCCAGCCTTTATGAAAGACTACTTTCTCCCAAAACCCAATAGCTATAATCTTCGAGGAATTGATCCTCTTTCTGTTTCCAATGTTAAAACTACAAGTAATTGCATGCAAAGGAAACCCATCCCCCGTCGGAATTTCAAGATGAGGAAGATATTTTAGCCTTCATTTTGGAAGGCCAAGTCCCTCTTTCGGAGAAATTTATCATAATTGGGAGTCTGTAAATTTAACACGGGTTGCGATTGCTAACAAACATGTCATCGGAGAGCGTTGTGTGATCTGGACAAAGTTTGGCGTGGCACACGCGGAAGTGCAGGTCAGATAGTTGCTGCACGAGTTTCGAAGGATTGTCACCGGCCTTACAGGGAGAAAGCCTTTGTGTTGCAGAATTATCAATGCAAAATGATGGTCAACAGTGACCCCCATGAAGCAAAATTAAAAAGAGTAAAGGACGAGGTCAGTCAACTGAAAAAGGAAGTGGAAATTGAAAGGCTAAAAATCTCGAAATGCTCTATGGAGTGAGTTGTTTACTGATCATTTTATTTTGACAATATTTTAGAAACTTAGGTGTTTCGAATGAAATGGGCAACTAAAGGAACGAACAGCTATTCTTTAACACGAATTATAAACGGGTGGTTTTTATCCTGACAATTTTTAGATCGTCTGTCAAGCCTTGATTCCCATCGAATCACAAATAGAAGAAGTCAATTAACCTGAGAAAAACCTATAAAATATAAAACCGAGCGGCATTTCTTGCAGTTTCCCTGCACCTGGTTCCTTCATTGATAAAACTTTTATTATAATACGTTCCTTATATTCATCATCATATGACCCTAGGCCCTCACTCAACTCAAGCTGTACAGTGTCACCATGCTTGATGTCAAATCCATTTCAGTAATATTTGCACCCCCTTAGATTTAAGCCCAATACACAATTTGGAAGGTACCGTAGCTGAGGAACGTTCTTGTTCCTGGAAATTGCCAACAGTCCAATTCGAGACAGTCTCTGTCTGGTGAAATTTAATTCAAATTTTGTCTACCTACGTACCAACAAGTAGAACAATGTTGACGATATCTTCGTTGCATTGTATCATTCGTATCAAATCAGAATCAAAAACTTGCTTGGAAAGTGTCCAAATAGCCCTTTTGGGTTTTACTTCATTTTGTTATTTATTAAAAAGGCCGTCGTGGGTCTCATAAAATAAATGAATTGCTTTTTAGGAATTGGGTTAATCAAACTTAGCAGAAGTATACTTATAAAAATTAAACCATTTTAAACCATTGAAAGAACTACTGAAGTGGATTTTAAGCTAATCTAAAGGACGTGGTCGCGAAGTTTCTCTGTTTGCTCCGCTCGCGGGGGCCTCATCTTTCGATTTGGCCCAGGGCCACCTAATAATCTTGGCGGCCCTGTTTATAAAAAGCACATGTTCTTTGTTAAAGTGGACAGCAGATTATCTTTTATTACATTATCTTTTTATTATTCCTCTATATTTACGGTCAGAAAGTTTAGGTAGTCTTGACCATCCATCTTGATTATGTTATTTCACCATGCAACATTAAAAGTCGAAATTGATCGAGCATCAAACATTCTGCCATTGGTTTATCTACGTTCTTCTGAATCATTGCCACGAAATTATTGCAACCAAGATTCTGAATGCTGTGCTGAGTGCCACACGGCGTAATCATTTGGTAAACTATGCTCAGGACAAATATGGCTAGAAAAATCATTAATTTCTTAAAGTCGAAGTTCAGAGACATCTTTTTACTTAATGAAAAAGTTTTTGGCTAGCTTTCCCAAGTCCAAAGGTAAACATAATCGAACATATTCATTTACCTGCGCAAAACCAATTCTTATTTTATTTGCTCAAAATCAGTTCTTTATTTGCCTTGCAGATTGGCCTCGTTCTGTGAAACTGAGCAGAAAAAAGACCCGCTTCTAACCAAAGCTCTACTTGCAGACAACCCGTTCCAAAAGAAGGGTGGACGATGTAGAATTTCATAGACAAAAATGCCTTTTTACGTCAGATAATCGTCTAAACGTCAGACGAAAAGGCTTATAGAGAAATGACAACTGTCCGGTGGAGGCCAGCGTGAGCTAGAAAAATTTTAAGTGAAGAAGAATAAGTAAAATTGAGCTGTAAATTACATGCAAGTTTTTTTCAAATTGTACGTATATTTCTATGAACTATGTTATTCGTTGCTCATTAATTAATTTATTGAATAAGGTCCACTTTGATACGTTTTATAGATAAATGCTTATTTGTATAAATTACTGAAAACTTTGAAATTGAGCGACTGGATATTCTCTACAGTGCATTAGAAGTTTCATAAAAGTCACACAAAAGTACAGCGAAATTAAAACGAAAAAGAAAATTGAGTTTTTAAAATGATATAAAAAATGTCATTTAACACTCCAAACCGTTGGTATTCAACAGGATTTTAAGCTGCCATTACTCTTCTGATCATGTCCCTGTAAACAACAGATTTTGAGGCGTCCTCGTGCGGCTGTACAATTGGTTCAATTTGGTCTTCTGTCATTTTGTCACCAATGTTCATAAGCACCATTCTAAGCTCGGCTGAATTGACTACGCCACTTGTGTCGCGATCCATTGTGCCAAGTCCCTCCACCATATCCTCATAGCTTCCAGTTGCAGGCGTCTTTGCCAATTGCTTGAAAATGCCATAAAATGTCTCAAAGTCCACACGAGTGCCTTTAAGTTTTGATGCCTCGATGCATTTTTCAACATCATCGGTCAACGGGTTTAGGCCCAGAGAGCGCAAAACGTCTATTAAACGCTTGTCTTCCACCTTCATGTCCCCAACGCGATCAAAAATCGAGTAACAGTCTTTCATTTCCTCGATTTGCTCCTCTTCGCTTAGGCTTGGATCTAAGGCAGTCATGCTGAAAGGCTTTGGATATAGTACAGAATTCTAATGCGTCAGTCTTGGCAGCTAGCGTTGCAGTGTCACTACTGAAGTAAGGTCCAGTATCAAGTGAGATGCGTATATGTATGGCTCTTAAACCCAGAATTCCAATAAGCATAACAATGGAAATGCACAGGCATAATTGGTTGAAAAAACTAATGCAAGATTTCCAAGGATTCAAAAGATTAACTTTGCTTTGTGTGCTTGGAACATCGATGACGTATGTTCGCTACAAAATTAGCCACAATTAACTTGAAAAGTCATTTATATTTGTTTTGGAAATTCATTCGTGAAAAAAATACAAAAATACAACAGGTAGTCGACACAGCAGAGCGCTGGCAGAAGGCAGGCAAACAATTGCAGGTGAAGGCGTGCAGCTTCGTGTAAGCAGGGGGGATTTATGTCACAGAATTTCAAAGAAGATTGGTGGTGCTTTAGCCACAGGCAGCCATATCTCTCCAGTCCAGTTGTTCACAGTAGCCAAGAACGGGTTTAGCCGAATCAAACAATCTAACGTGGAATTAGAGACATTCACAGCCAAAAAACAGGATCGGCTTCCAAATAAAAAGGAGCCGGCCAAAATGAAACACCAAAAACTTGCCAAATACGATAACTCTCAGGCTTTCTTTGCAAATGGTTTCGAAAACACCAGAAAGACAAGGAAGGATTGATAAAGAATTATACCGGCTGGAAAAGCCGAGGCTTCAGACAAATCTTACATGATTTCAGACGGCACTCAACGAGTTCAGGTATTTGAGAAGTAACTAAATGATTTTATTTTCTGTTGATAAGGAAATCAAATCATGGCATGGCAAAGAATGGCATGTTAATGCATGGCAAGCCAAGGTCAAAGATCAGATCAGGAGGTCAATGTCGTTATGGCACTAATTACTTAGCTCAAGGGGGTCCAACATACCGCCCGTGGGCCAGATGTATTCGTGAGGACATATTCTTTGGCCCTTATTAAAACTTTTGATAATTTGACCCCTGCACTATGTCTATGTAGTGCAATTCCCGATAAAATTATTACAGATAGTTATTAGTCACACTTTCTCATTAGTAGGGCAAACTTTCTTATTATTATGCAAACTTATTTGATCTGAAAGCAGACGAACATTAAGTGACATTCTTTGATGTCAACTACCGGTATGATGCGTTCTTATAACTTTTGGAAATTGTTTTCTAAAATGCTTTATAAAACTAAACCCCTGCAGAGAATAATGCAGATGAGATAGTGAAGGGTAATGTGGACGTTAGCGAAGACGATAGTGTAGACAAATAAGAGTATCGGAGATGGTCATCAGACGTTGACACAGACGGTAACGCGGACGGTAACGCAGACGGTAACGCAGACGGTAATGTAGATGATAGCGCAGCGTAAAACGTAGGCAAATAGCAAAGGGTAACGAAGAATTTAACGCAGATGGTAATGCACACAGTACTGTAAGCAAATATCGGAGATGGTCATCAGACGTTGACACAGACGGTAACGCGGACGGTAACGCAGACGGTAACGCAGACGGTAATGTAGATGATAGCGCAGCGTAAAACGTAGGCAAATAGCAAAGGGTAACGAAGAATTTAACGCAGATGGTAATGCACACAGTACTGTAAGCAAATATCGGAGATGGTCATCAGACGTTGACACAGACGGTAACGCGGACGGTAACGCAGACGGTAACGCAGACGGCAACACAGATGGTAATGTAGATGGTAGCGCAGAGTAAAACGTAGGGGGATAGCAGGGGGGTAACGAAGACTTTAACGCAAATGGTAATGCAGAAGGTACTGTCGGCAGTTTAAAGATTTGGTTTTAAAAGTCACGACTCCCGGTGCAAAAGTAACAAGACGAACCACATTTAAAGAGATTTAGAGGGTTTCCTTTATAGAGATTTAGAGGGTTTCCTTTATAGCGTGCATAATGTATCCCTTGCGACTGTTAAGAAAATAACTGTTAGATAGCGCTTAAAATATTAGTATCGGGTATTGGTGTGTCCATTATTTCAAACGCCTGCCTTTCTTCAAAATAGCAATGACATGTCGGAAAAATTTCTATCGAACAAGAATAGATACATAACAACACAAAGTAGATAAATTGAGCATGTTACACGGGGAAAGCATCTATTATGCCATTACCGGTCTCATTTAGGTAGGCCTTACTCCATAACTCCAATTTCTTTGTTTTGTAAACATCTAAAGTCTGTCAAATGTTGTCGCATTATAAAAAGCTATAATGGTACGCGATAAATAAGATAGCTACATGCAATTTACTCAAATGATATTCCTCTAAGAATATGATATATCAATTGCTTACGGTGCGTAATAAACGAAATTGAGAAAGAAAAACAATTTGATTTACTAAACATAACCATTTGGCATAAATCGAATTAGTTCAGCCAGGTTTTATGCCGTCGAGTAAGATGATATTCGAAATACGGATATCCTACTGTTTTTTGCATCTATAGCGCTCTTTTATAAAGGTTTCAATCGTCAGCAAAAACTAAATTTTTTCAAGCAATATATGAAAGACAGATTTTATACTGTTACATAAAATATTAAAATTGATATGCAGGAGATATTCAAATTATCCAGTGCAATTTTGCTGTAATAATGTGGCTAGAGCTTTATTCTCATTCACGATAGCTAATTTTGATATAAGGCTTAAAATGTCGACTTGCAATTTGAATTGGCAACAACAAAATTAAGGACCAAATTGGAAAATAGGTTGTGTTTGCCAAATGCGATATTCGACTTTGTGACGTCAGCTTACATGATGCTATCTGGATCCATTTCGTTCTGCACAAAACAAGAGGTACAAACATCGAATCCATTGATGTTTGTTGAAACTCCATAATTTCTCCACACTGTGAACAATCTTGGACATAATCTCCATTAGGTGACAGCAAGATAAATTACAGACATCAGAGATAATTTGATTAAAAAAAGACTGCTCCTAACAATCCATGGTGACAATGCGCACTTCATTAAAGCCCAGTGTAATTTTTGGTAAATAAAATCAACCAGTGCGTCTAAGGCTCCAAATAAAACAGTTAATTCAAGTTGGAACATTCGCATACTTAGGTGTATATGCAATCCTATCTTCATTTCTTAGGCAATTCTCGCCAATATTACGCGGATACTTCTACAACTGCTCTGTTGCTGCTTTTCTATGGTAGTGTTAGGCCAATTTTACTGTAGAGCTATAGCGCATATTTGAAACCGAAAATAAATACGCGATACGAGCATTATCAGATATCATACTCCTAGCTCAGACACTATATGTGTTCTGCTCCTCTTTGGTGTTCGACGATTCAATATAAATAATAAATAAACTTTAGAGTTTCTATAAAATTTTCTACAAATAACTTCATGATTTCCCACTGATTTTGGTATAGATAAAATGAGTTTTTGTTGTTTTATTTAGGTTTTATTTTAGATAAGGATATAAAAAGCAGAGCATTTAACAATAAACAATGCATTGCAAGAGACTTCTTTCCTTAAATTACCTGACAAGCAGAAACACAAATTGTTTCTACTGCTACTATTTCTCCCAGGGAACGCTGGTTTTCGTGCAGCTGTCAGACATACACGTGGGATCGATCAGGTGGGCCCGTCATTTAAGCAAAGGTTCTTTCACGTGAGCCAGGTCGATTCTTACCCGAGAGAATTCGTGGTGCGAGCAGCTTCTGAATGATACGTACACGAAACAGCCAAGGTGGGCCTACAGCACACGCAGCAAAGCTTTCCCGCAGAAATAGCTACTTGATCGTAAAGCAAAAGTCATCTCATCTATAATATTGTTGCTAGGATCCTTGGGGCACACCACAAAATGAATTAAATGTTATGATTTGCTTAATAACGTTCAAAAAACTTGATGCTGCTCTAGCTCCTGATAAAAAAGCACACTTTCTCTCTCATATTGTTCAGGAGATACTATAAAGAGGCCAATTCTGCCGCAAAATGGTCAACACCTTCCCGAAAGACGTTTATCACCTCTTGAACCATTGAGTTGCGTAAAGGGTGGATTATAGTGTTTTTCAAGTCAATTTTCAGTTCCATCTAAAGTTTCAGTTCTATTTTTTCAGGACATTTCGGAAAAAAATTGTCAGGCGTTGCCTTCGTCCTAATTGTTATTGGCATAGTAAATTCAAACGTGACGGTCATGTCAATCAAGTCAATTTTTAGCTGATAAAAAAAGCTTATTGGATTCTTTATCATAGATATCGGATAGTGACAGGAAGGTAGCTGCCCTTCAATTACAAAATAACTCAATGAAATTTCTTTATGTTGGGAACCAATCCTTGCAACTGTTAAAGGCAATATCGAATTCCACTTTGTTTTATTCTGTTTTGGTTTCTAACGGCTTAAAGAAAGAGACTTTTTGAAACAGGAGGATAATTGTGCTGATTGATGGCACACAGCTAGATCTCTTTATTCGTTTGAGATAAACGAGCGTATGCTCTACCTTTAAGAGCGATAAACAATAGGCAATATGAGAAAAAACAAACAAAAAACAGAGATTGTAATCACGGGTCATGTCGAGTTGCCAACGGCGCATTATGGTATATAATGAAAAATGCCTTAAAAACTCACCTAAAATCTTCGATGGCAGTTCAAGCGTCAATGTAGAGACCTAGGATTGGAACATTTAGGTTTTTAATTAAAATGTGAAATAACCATAGCAAATCACACACAACAATTTGAACTCATGTTTAAAGATTTCTTGCTACTCTTTGTTGCATTTGTCATTTCACCAACATTGCAGTTGGCGGTTTTATAGTCACAATGTTAGCCTTCCCGTGAAGTGCGAACTATTTCTTTGGCACTAGAACTCCAACACACGTCATACCACACCTATTTTGTCACGTGGTTTTTACTTCAAATGAACCATTGACAGTTTATAAATAAAGATTGTAGCTAATAATAACTGATTGGATTGAGACAGCCTTCATATGCAAATTTCTTGTGTTCGCTATAAATGCTCGAATGCTGTCTGGAAGTGCTCAGTCTGCAGAGATCTGATCGCCGCAATCTTTAGTGACAATGGACGCGTCTTTAACAGAGGAGGAGCAAATTGAGGAAATGAAGGACTGCTATTCAATTTTTGATCGTGTTGGTGACATGAAGGTGGAGCATTATTTGATCATTGATGTTCTGCGCTCACTTGGTCTCAACCCTCTCACGGCCGACGTCGACAAATGCTTGAAAGATTCTAAACTGGAGAACCAAAGGGTTGACTTTGAAACATTTTACTCGATTTATAAGCAGCTTTCGAAAGTGCCAGCAAGCGGTAGTTATGATGATTTGGTAGAGGGTCTGGGAACAATGGACCGCGAGCAGTGTGGGTCGGTGAATTCAGCAGAACTTAGGCTGATCTTGATGAACATAGGAGACAAAATGTCAGAAGCACAGATCGATGCGATTGTGCAGCAACACGAAGACGGATCGAAATGCGTTGTTTATAGAGACATGATCAGAAAGGTGATGTCTGCTTAAAGAGAAATTTGTGCTGCAGTCTAAGACACTGACAAAATGATCAAATATTGTAGTGCTGTAATATTACATGGATGAATAACAATATAATTTGCAAATTTCTTTTATTTATTTGTCTCTAGAGGTAATTACTTGCAAGATGAAATCTGAAAATGAAAAGGTGTACAGTCAATTAGCATACAGTCCATTTAGCTAAAGAAACGAACATTGGAATCCATAAAGTTTTGAATAATTTTCTACTTCTAAAAAGTGCTTTCCTTAGAACTTTTGGAAAAATACCCTTTGTTGTAAGACATAGGACAACTATTATCTCTGTCCCTATAACTTTTAAATTCTTTTATGGCCCCAGATTCAAATAAACAGTCACCTCTATCATAAAAGACTGGCATAAAATATCAAATAGGTTTTTCTCGAGCATTTATTACGAGAAATATTGAGCAAATATGACAAAATATTTTGTAAACGACATGCGATCATCTCCCCTCTTCGTGCTGTCTTTAAAGAACCTTGATGCCAATGGGCCATCGCATTGGAACATTTGCAGTCATTTTTCCATAAAATAGTGACGGCTCACGGCGTTGATTTAACCTCAGGTAATAACGACGGCTCACGAATTTTAGTTATTTAGCTAAGTGTCAAGGGAAACTTCTTAAATTGTTTCCTGGCAGCACTCTTTTTGTCAACCATTCTTATAACGCCTTGTGGGATTTTTGTGACCTTTTTGGCTCGTACTTTTGTTGGGGAAAGGAGATGCAGCAAATTCACGAAAATGACATGAGTACCAACGTCTTGGGACAATGACACAAGTGTCAAAGAGGCAAAAACAGAAAAAGGAAGAAAAAGAACTTTGCGATCAAAATTCCAAACATCTCCAAGGGAGCGGTGTCAGCAAAACATTCACACTGACATTCGGAGTTTATCATGAAAGAAATGTCTTTCATATTGTAAAACATGCCTAGATTCTCTGTTGACTTATGTACTTGATTATATTGAGGTCCGATATGGAACAGCACAATATGATTTCAACTTACCTCTGACACTAGGGCCAGACCAAGGCAAACCAATCGGCTAAAAACAACAGGAAACGTACTAAATTATTCAAAATATGAAAAGAAAAGCTTCAAAACTTGAAATGTCCGTTTAACTAGAAATAAGCTCTGAGGCAAATCCCTAAATGAACGTCAAAATCAACAAAAATCAATGAAAATACATACGTCCCAAACTAATTTTCTTAAAAATTGTCAGAAATGGACGAAACGTGGTTGAGTTGCTAGGTTTACTGTTGTCAAGATATTTTCGAGCTCTCGTTGTGTTTCCCTGGTTGGCGCTGGTGAAGATGGCCGTGAAGTCAAGATTTCGCGAGAAAAAGTTGCTTAAAATACGCATGCGTCATGCCCCTTGACTTGATTAGCTCGAAAAAATCATTAAGCCTTTTGTCTCGAACAATAGGAGTGATATCTCTTCTCCCCAACAACTTTCAATTTCTTTCATTTGTTGGAAGCTTCGGCTTCCTTTGGCAGATCAAACTACAAACGTCAAACTCGTGACAAAGTATTCCTTCTTTGTTCGCCTAACCTGGGTACCAGAGCATCAGTGAAAGAGATGGATGCCGTTGTGAAGAATTCCTAAAATTCTACGACGAATGCTTTGACATAATTGTCTTGCAAACATGCCAAGATCTGAACGCTTGTTATTTTGTCTGGCTTACATATGTAGCTTTTCGCTGCATGGGAGTAACGCTGTGACGCTTTCTAAAATGTTTGAGCTGCAGCGTTATATTACATACCCAAGTAAAGAGTAGCGTTATGCTTCTTAAACATCAATATCATATTAGATGTGAGTACAAATAGTCAATTTTTCGATTGGACAATATACCAAACAAATAGGTTAGGCTTAAACCTTTGTATCAACCAAGGTTCGAGAGAGTATGAAGGTGATTAAAGTGATTAATATTGCAATTGTATTTTGGAAATTTGTCTATGTAAATTGGACACCATTGTAAACAGTACCGTAGTTGATCGATATTGTTCATTGGCCAAAGTAGAGAACAAGATCATAGAAGAAGTAAGTTTATTGGCTACCTAGGTCGACTGCTAATATCCGAAAAGTAAATAAATAAGAAAATTGACAGAAAAAAACTGCAGGAGTGCAACGATATGGACAATATGTCGATTCATGAGAAAGAAAATGCTTTATATTTGACAAAGAGAGTAATTGGTAGAGTCATAATGTTAGCAACAACATATGGTGTTAAAACATGGACCCTGTCATAAATTGGCAGTGGCACAGAGAGGCATGTTTAATATCACATGGCCGAACAAGTAGAAAAATGAAAACCAAACGGCTAGACGTTGTAGAAAACTTAGAAAAATATGTGGCGAATGGGCAAGCCGTGTAGCCAAATGGACACAAAAATTGGACAGAGAAGATACCAATTTGAATAAAGAGGACCTAAAAAGGGAAGAAAAGATGACCTGCAGAACATCGCATATGTCACTAGGATGAGATGCATGAGGTATAACGACACAGTTAAATGTTCAAGGCAAAGATGTCTTTAAAAGCACAAAATGTGATATTTTTCTGAAAAGCGCCAATGAAAGGCTGTTTTTGTTTTTTGACTTTTGCTTCATACTTCCTAAGAATTTACGACTACACCACTGGAGTAACGACTGATGTGCATGACCTCGAAGCCTTACATACTATGCATACTCGTCCCTTTGCAATTTGCCCTTTTGTATCAATTCCCCACCAGCGAAAATTTCTTAAAAGATCCCCTGCTTAGCATTAAAAAGCGAGCAGTAATACTCTTAGCCTCCTTGTTTGTGTCTATGCAGTTAAGAAGCAGGTAGACTCAAAAGATTCAAAGAAGATTTGTTTGAGTTCATCTCGGTTTAGACAACCTTGCTGTCAGTGTTTCCGTCTCGTTCCTCGAAACCTGATTTACTCTCTTTAGAGGCGAAATACTCTACCCATTCAAAGCTCTATAGAAGATTCTGGTTTTTACTTGGTGCTAAAGCTATTTCAAGACGAATTAACATCGCAGAACATTTATCAAAGCCCGTTCTAGACAAGGCTTGCATGGATTTACAGGAAAGATTCTGCTGGAATTTTGCGTATTAGCTCACGTTTTTATAGATTTAGTTCTATAGATTAAAAGAATTATTTTCAGCAATGATCGATTACTTTCAGGTGACGGGGAAAAGCAAACACAGTTCCGAAATTGTTTGCTCTGCCATCCTTCATTCTACCTAATTTTCACATGTTTAATAGTGAATGTGAATTTAGTTTCGATAAACATGAGAAATTATTTTATTAGCAAGAAGAAAAATTGACAAATAAAGATGATCTATTTCGGAAGACAGACATTACCTTGAAGTGCAAAAGGAAAACTAGGCCACACTTTATAGGCTAGATGGATTGTAAAAAAAGCGAAAGTTATGAAAAAACAATCTACCTAAGCTTTCAGTTTGTGGGAAATGAGGATCAATTCATCCGGTCGAACTATAACGTTTTATAACATATAATTGATTGAGAATGTCATGCCATACAATGAAAACGTTGTGGCATACCTTTAGGGAGAGGATGGGCAAAATTGGCTATGAATTAGGAGCAAAAATTGAAAATTCTTTAGATATTGAAAAGTCGAATCAAAACACATCTAGCAAGGACAAATAACATAGTGACATTTGATTTTCACCCTTATCCGTCAAAATAGTAGTCAGCATACAAAGAAATGAATATTTGGCATAGCTCTTGCTAGATGTGTTTTGTTATATCCATTGCCAGAATTTGAAAAATTTATCAAATAGGGCAGGGAGCCAGGGCTAAAAGAGTCAATTGAACACAAAAATTGTCGTTGCATTCAAAACATTTGTAACCATCTACCTGCAGAGAAAATCTTTGAGTAGCAAATCACTTACACGCAATAGCAAATCAATGCCTGAGAAAGATGAACATGCAGACAATACCGTTTTAACTTCAATTAGTTGTGCTGTTCCAAGTAGACTTTCTTATACTAAAAGACTTTCTAACATTTCCTACAGCTAATGCCAATCTATTTTGAACATTTTGAATGCTAACCTTCCCTTACCATAAACTTCTCCACATTTCATCTGCCAGCACCTCAAAGCTGCGCATGACCAACTGATTAATCCTCATTACGGCTCTGCTTTCACTTTTGTGAGCTTTTTAATAGAATATCCGCAATGTCAAAATGTCAATGTCAAAATGTCAGTACAGAACCTTTGTTCTTTGAAGAATCATCATGACAAATTGTCATATCACGTTCTCCTTCAAATTCTGCGTCTCTCACTTGCATGGCTTAGTTGCACTTTGTCTACACAACGCACCAAACAGGTTCTACGCTACACTAAAGATGACTGAGACCTTAACAGAAGAGGAGCTGATCGAAGAAATGAAGGATTGTTACTCAATTTTCGATCGTGTTGGTGACATGAAGGTGGACTACAACAGAATTGCTGACGTCTTGCGGTCACTGGGGCTCAATCCACTAACTGCAGATGTTAACAAGTGTTTGAAAGACTCTGAGCTTGAAGGGACAAGAGTGGACTTCGAGACCTTCTATGCCATCTACAAGCAGCTCTCAAAAGTACCTGCGTCTTCAAGCTACGATGACCTGGTAGAGGGACTGGGGACGATGGACCGTGAGCAATGCGGAGTTGTAAGATATGCAGAGCTCAAATTAATATTGATGAACGTTGGAGACAAGATGACTGAAGATGAATTCGACCTTATTGTCACTCCCCATGAGGATCAATCCAAAAATGTTGTCTACAGGGACATGATCAGGAAGGTTATGTCAGCATAAGAGCGTGTTATAAATAAAACGTCTTTGCTATTGAAACTGTTTTTACACGCGTGGTAGCTTTCTTCATATTCGGTATCACAGATATTGTTCAGTAAATGCGTTGACCTTTCCAAGCAGAATGTAAGCTGAAAATGACTTTACAAACTTTTAAATGATTCTTTCAACCCAAAATATATAAAAATTTTTGTAGGGAAAATAACTACTCGCTAACTGCATTTTACGCCTTAGAATAGCTTGAGTGAAATCGTGATTGAAAAGTATTGAAGAAAACTTGCACTTTTTCACTTCTTGAATCTGCTACTGAAACTTTTAAGAACTATTCACATGGCATCCAAGCCTTTTTTTTACTGTATATAAATGTGTTACTTTTGATACTTCTAGGGACCACATTCCAAAACAAGACCATGTAAACAAAGATATATTGATGAGCTCGTTATTTACAGCCTAGAAAACAGAAAAATTCTTCAGGTTTTTTCAAGGTTGAGATTTTGAATAGAGATCTTTGCAGCTCAAAGGGAAGATTAGTTCATACATTTTAAAAACTATTGACACAAAAGTAAGAAAAAGGAAAGAAAGGAAAGGCATTAAAGAATACAATTAAATTGGTATTTAAGAAAAAAGAGCATTCTTGAAATGACACATGGCAAAAGAATAACGATTTCAAATTAATTTTGAGACAAAAATCAGATTTGTTTTTTCAGCTTCTAGAACACTTGCTTCATGGAAACATTTGTCCTTGACTTTAGGATTTGAACCACCAAATTTGTATAAAAACTGTTGAAGCAACAAATTATTTTATGATGATAGTACTCTGCTTCAAAATATTTGCCATTTTCCCAAATACAGAGGATTAAGATACCAAATCACCAGATTACTAACAAACTGAACTGTTTTAAAGTTTTTATACAGGTTTGATCTGTCTAAGATGTTATATTAATGTCTATATCCAAAGTCTTATCATACTAGACAGATAAAGAACACACCCTAAGAGGATGAGCCATTGACGAGACAATTCAGACCAAAGATGTCCTATTTTGGTACCAAAATATTACCAGAAAAAATTGTCCCAATGAAATCTGGTCTGCAACATGATTTGCACTCAGAAAGTGATAACTGGTGAAAGTCTAAGCCATTTTGAGGTAAACAAAAGATAATAAAGGAATCAAAACTATTTCTAACGATAAGACACTTCAATACATCATCCCCTTAGCATTATTTCAATACACCAATATTTCATACTTTAATACACCAAATAATCATTTGAAATTATCTGAATCAAAACATCACTGTTTGGACAATTTTATGAATGTTATGGATGTGCTCAAGGTTGAGATGGTTCATTCTTGACGTGAATAAGATTGGCTTGGTGGAAATTTAAATTCCACAAGAAAGTGACACTCATGGCTTCTATCCTTATTACTGAGTTTCAACAAATTAGTCATACAGATATATTTAACCACAAAATAGAAATTAAGAGTAAGGTTAAAAGAAATCTGGTTTCACAAATAGGTTTAGTAGTTATTATACACCCAATGATTGCTTAGACATATTTTCCACGATATTTTAGTCTACTGGCGTCAACGAGGATAAAGCAGGCAATATAATTTGAGGCCATCTTGTTTTAACAAAAAAATTTGAGTGTAAGTTTGCAAAATGAGAAGGGCGTACCTGTCAAGTTATTGGTGTGCTTTGTGGTAAAATTTCGCGTTAGATACCATACATTTGTGAATAAAACGGCAATTAAACCATATTAAACCAAACAAAACTATGATAAAACCATATGTATTGTCATTCATACGTACGCCAACCTTGGCAGATATAAACGGGTTGGTTTGAAACAGCTCAGCTATATTTCATTTTATAATTCCACAACATGAAAAGCTGATAATATTATAATATAGTATATTAGTAACATATGTTAAATAAATGGATATAAAATGGATAAATAAATTGATATTACATTGTAACTTCAAATAAATACAAGTACAAATAACAAGGAAAACAATGTGGGAAATGTATATCCAAGTATTACTGAGATGTCGCTCAGCATCCCATTTTGATGCAGCAAAAAATTGTAAGATATGAGAGCAACGTCGCTTTGTGAAATTCGTTTTGGTGCCGAATTGTGCAAGAAGCCTAATACTTTACACACGGTATTCACGTTTACTAACCACAACATGAGTTAATATATTTTGCTCTTTTAACGAGAATGTGACGCATACCTTTGAAACTTTTCTGTTCATGTCTTCAAAAGCAAACTAGCTACATTTATCAAAGAACATTTCCCAACAAATCATATTATATTGACTATGATCAAATCTTCCTTTTGCGTGCAAGAACCAAAGCGAAACGAATTTCCCGCCAATCTAAACCTCATTCTCATTTCGAGGCGAACGGCTAATTTAGAAATAATTACAGAAACGGTTGATTTATCAATCTTCATAGATCTTTTGACGGAATGGCAGTGATGTCCTTAGTCCGCGATACGAATGTTAGAATGAAATAATAATTCGCAAGAATCTTTCGTGCTACAAAACTTGAAAATGACTTTGAAAAAAGCAAACATTTGAGTAAACTAAAGCTTTTCGTCTGACACTCTTCAGAGTTTAAAACGTCAGAACATAGATCGAAAAATAAGGATTTTTTTACGTACGCTGAATTCATGCAAAATTTGAACATAAAAACGTAACATCTTTCATGTGTTATTTTGACATTAGCAGTCTTTTCACAAATGTTCCTTTAATTGAGACCATCAAGATATGTGCCGGAACGAGCTTAATGCGAAACGTTCAGCTGAATTCAGCTTTAACAATGAGATGTACCAACAAAAGGGCGGTGTCGCTATGGGTCCCTCTGAGACCTGCCTTGGCCAATATATTTCATAAAGAGCGTTTGTTTGACTGCGACCAAAAGCTATTTTCGGTATGTGGATGACCATACACCATTTTCAAAACAGAGGCTGAGAGCGTATGTTATAAAAGTTAAAATCACTTGAAACCACCTAATTGGACAAAATCCATACACGAGGGCGGACCCGAACCGGATCCAAAAGAGTACGGATAGGCCTTGCGTTTACACGGGAACTGGTGGATTCGTATACTTTAGGTTTCGCTATCCGAACACTTTTGGGATCGCTTTCAGAGGTGATCCCGTATGGATCCGATCTGGACGGGATCCCGTGTAAACGGGTGGATCTGGTCCAGATCGGATCCGTCTACGTTATTTGTCGAAAGTGAGACAGAATATTTTTCAATTCAAGGTAGTTTGAATATGTAATCCGTGGCTTTTTGGCGCCAGAAAACCGTACATCAAGTTGATAGACTACTGTGTTGAAGAATTATTACGAAACTTTGACGATATGTTGTCGTACTTTGTCCTTATATTTTCCCAATCCTGCCCATCTGCAAGCTTTGCAGTTTTGTAGTCCAATACTACTTTTAAAAGTAACGCAGTTTTTTCTCCAGTCCACAAAAAATTACCCTTTTAAGCTTTACCTCCCTCCATGTTCAGGTTGAACTGCGTTTTGATCACGCACGAAGTTCTGAAAACGTCATATGCGCGCCAATGTTCGGAAAGCGCATGCGCTTAACCAATTTAATTCATCTGGATCCGTCCCCGTGTAAGCGCAAATGGTTCTGGATCGGATCCCGTGTAAACGCATTGCCATTTCAGGGATCGGATCCAAAAGTATCCGGATCTGGTCCAGGTCTTGCGTAAACGGGGTCTTATTGTAGTATAAATAAAAGCATGCAAGCTCCTTAGAATAATCATATTATGAATATTGAGCTTCTTTTGGTTACAAACCAGTGGTTACAATTTGTCCACGTTAATCAAAATGAGGCTAAAAAAGCCAAGACGAGATCACTAAAAGAGTGAAACTGCGCTAAATACAATTGGCTACTTTTCTTTCCGAATCTTCTGGTTTCAAGTCACGAGGTTGAGACTGAGGCGTAATTTTAGAAAGTTGGGTCTCTTCTTCTTGGAAGTTAGAAAATCTAAAGAATACTCAAACCAACAAATGTCCTGGTGTCCTAGCTTAGCCTGCACACGTCAGAAAGCGGAAGCGAGGTTAAACGATTGCAGTAAGGGGGTGGGAGCTACCTCTGTTTTAATTGGGGGCTTTTCCATGGTCGTCATGTATAATCAATCAACATTTGTATTCATGTTTAATCATTTCCTGCCTGATTAGTATATGGTTATTCCCAGTTAAGGTTCAGTTCCTTCTATTTATTTTTTCATATCAAGACCATCAACTTTTTATGACTAATCCAGGTCTGCATCCTTTTCTGCAGAGCGAACTAAACTTTTATTCGGCAAATGCAGAAGGAAATTTAGTCCACCTATCAAAGCAATATGATTGGTTGCTTGAGAAAGGCAATTCAAAGAAAGAATGGAGTAATGTTTTGTGTTATAACAAAAAGCCATTCACTATTGAAACCATTGTATGGGAACAATTCGAATAATAACCCGAAAATATCATACGGGCTGAGTATGATATTTTTCAAAAACGCCTTAATGCCCTTCGCCCAGCCCTACAGTCTACATTTGAAAAAAAAAATAACTCCTTGCCATTTCTCTAACACTCTAAACTCTGAAGAGTGTCAGACGAAAAACTTTAGTTTACTAAATGTTTGTTTTTTTCAAAGCCATTTTCAAGTTTTGTACCACCAAAAAACTGAGTATATATTTCCTAGCGTAGAGTTTTCGATCTATGTTCTGCCGTTTTAAACTCTGAAGAGTGTCAGACGAAGAGCTTTAGTTCACGCTTTTTTCAAAACCAATTTCACAATAAATAAATACAATATTTCCAGAGTCATTAGTCCAACAAATTAAATATCGATCGCACAGAAATGGTTAAAACTGATAAAACATGTTAAGAAATCGCAGCCAGAGTATAATGATAAATCACTGACATTTCAATTTCATCCCAAAAAAATCATCTACAACCTTGAATAATTAAACCAAGCAAGAAGTTAGAAAAACAATCGCACGGTTAATAATGTCTACGCTTTCAATTATAAGAGTTTGGCCATTGAGATTTATGCCCCTGCAACAAATTTACCAATATGCCTCCATACTGCCAACGACACTCAACATTTAATAAGATTGAAATTACATTACATCTTCAATGTGTTTAACCAGAAACAATAAAAGAAGAGCACTTGCTATTGACTCTCGTTTAACTCACTTACAAGTATTTGGAGAACAACAGTTATCACTCTAGGTGCTACCCGGTCGAGACCCGGGGAAGAAAACATGTCTTATAATAAATATTTAACCTTCTCTCCCTCCCTCAAGTTAATTCAAACTGCAATTACATTGACCAATTTCTTGCCGGCACGAAGGTAAGACGAGGGCTGTTCTTTTGGCTTCTTTTCAACTAAGCTTTTTTCAACAATCTTCCTGCAAGGCCCTTGTAGGGGGTTTTTCTTTGGTCTCTTATAGCCTATCCTCACAAGATCCTGTAGCCACGCCTCAGTCAAGTGAATGTCAGCCGGTCCCCAAAACCCCATGTGGGCAAATTGGATGGACAGGTCCAAAATGTTGTCAAAAAGATCTTCAAACCTCGGTTTCCATTTTAAAAGAAAGTCGACCATCCTACCAGAATCGTAATAAAGCAGTTTCTCGTCTTTGAAGTCTTTGAGGTAGTTATGAGCACTTCTATATTGATACGCACTTGGAGGAAAAAAACTAAGATGGCCGCCAATTTCCCAAAACAGCCTTTGCATGAAATAACTACGCCATATATCAGTGATACGCATGTTTACTGTCGAAGGAAACTGCAATGACCAAAAAGAATCATACACATACAAGGTATTTTGCGCATTGTAGGGACAGAAACTCCCCTTTGGCAGCAGAATAACATCTTGCTCTCGATCAAACTTGACATCAAGACGGACACCTTTATCCTTTCTTGTTAGTCGATAAATTGCGTCAATATCTGGGTCACCATCTACAACTCCCTGTTGTACAAGCGGCTGCGCCCCTTCGCATTTCATCGCATGATATTCTGGGGGCTCTGCAATCATATCTAAAGGATAGCCCCTTGGCCAAATGGTGCTTTGACCTAAAAACTCGTAGGCATTGACAACAGATCGATTGGTGCTGTAAACAAGATAGGAATCTTTGAATTTCTCATGAAAGTGTAGCTTGCCATCAGATGGATGGTTGTCGTCATCTGTTTCATAAATGAACTTGGCACCATGGTGTATTGCGTACAAATGTCCAATTGATTTCCTGGCATAGTTTCCGTAAGGCATCAGATTGGCAAAATTGTACCCGAGTTCCTCTTGTTCCTTAATCCCCAAGTAAATTGCGTTGTCAACTCTAGATAAAGCGAAGAGCATATCATGAAAAGAATAGTCCGTCTTAGCAGATTGAATTTAAAAAAAATACTTCGAGGGGCATGCTAAACCAAATGTGTCCCAAAAATGAAAATGTGCCCTATAAAACGACAATGTGCCCGTGAAAATAAGGGGCTGATGATGCTGTCTGTTGTTCATCTTCTGAACGAAAGTCTGAGCAAACCAATCTGATTTGTTACATCAATCACATCCATCAATCTTATTTGACAGTATCATACACAGATTTAATGGCGGAGATTTCCGAAAATGACTTTAAAAGAAAAATTCTTTCACGAAACTAGTGTTTCGTGTTATGGTCATGCAGTGATCGTAGATTTCTGCCTCCAGTCATATTGCCCTGGTATTATAAAAAAGAGCTTAGAATAAGCGTAGTTTTTACTTTTCTTGCAAGACTTAAATGGATTGCATAAAAAATAAGAGGACGCATGCAATTATCCCATTCCCAATCCAACCTACTTTGAAAGTGGCACTTCTCAACCAAAAGTAACATTGAATTCTATAACATATAATAATATTGTAGCTACATTTGTCTGTCATTATTCGATGAAATAAACAAGCACCCTTGGAATGGTAGCAATGGTGCAAAAATTAATTCAAGGGCGTTGTCTTAAAAAATAATCCAGGATCAAGGAATTTACAGGGGAAAAGCATTATATAATAAGAAAAGAAGTTAAAAATACTCATTTCCAGCAACTGAAAATTCAGAGACGACCAATGCTAAAGAATGCCATAAGGAAGACGAGGCCCATTTTAATTTTTATCGCAATTCGCCTTTTGCAAGCCATTTCTTAGTTGCAAACTGCAGACACGAGCGAATTCAATGCATACTTCTTTCGATCATTTTCGATGCGAACTCGATTGGACAGTACACCTTTGTTAGTTTAACCAATGAGATCGTAAAACTGATGCGACTTTGGCAACTTGAATACAACAGCCTAGGTTGTTGCGAAAACTGAACGGGTTGGCGTTCACAATGCAACGATGCTAGGCTTTTTCAAGTAGCTCATTTGTCTTTGGTTTTTCGTAGGTTTATTTGAAATTACCCACTTTATCAAGCACAAGAAACTTTCGCTTTAAAAAAATATCCGCTATATCCGCATTATTTCTACTTTTGGTACAATTTTTTAATCCGAACTGTTGATATCCCACTCGACTCTTGTCACCTGCCAATTTAAGTTGAATTTTTGCCTATATTTATTTTATTCACCAATTAATTGAATTTAATAATACAATAACAACACAATCGATCAAGCAGAGAAGTCAGCAAACAGATTGTGGTTTTTCCTTTGATTCTAATGTCACCACGGTTTTTCCCTATTCAAACGATAGTTTCTGATTGGCTGCCCTTCATCTACAACTTTCTTTCACATGCAAAAGTGATGTATGAAAACTTCAAACAAAAGATTGAATGCGATTTGTGTATTGCAAAAGATATAGAAATTGGCCTTAACTCACTCATTTTTGTTTGTGAAGTAATCATGCAAGTTTAACCGAAAACTGAACAACTAAAACAGAAACATACTTCCATCCTTCTGGAGTCTTCTTGTCCCCGACAACAAGCAACCTCCAACCTTCAATTTTGGCTAATTTCTTCACGTCTTCGGTCGGTTCACTTATTGTTGTAACAACTAGCCACTTATCATGCATGTCTTTCTTGTCCACAGTTGGCAGTGGGTGTGAGCTCTTGAATTCATCCCAAGGTATTGGGGCCTTGAGCAACTTTTCTTCCCTCACACTTTTCCAGTTTAGCCTACTGGACTTTACCTTCATCTTAAGAGTTAAGAAACAAAATAAATATTTTGTCATGTTACATCAAATAGCAAAGTGAAACAGGATTCATTAAATATACTGAGAGAAAACACCTTGCGCAGGTCATGTCACCCCTCAAATTGCCATTAAAAAGTAATGTGAAGGAACTTCTTCTGGCTCAGTTATTGACATTAATGGGGGGGGGGGGCTTTGCAAACTTGTAAAAAAGGCAAATTTGGTAGGGTCAATAGTATGGTTGCCAAATTCTTCTTTCTTGGTATAATTTACAGCCAGATTTCTCTACCATCCCATTGAAGATCATAAACACCTTATTCTATTTAATTCTTTCTTGTCCAAGCAACTCCACAAAAAGGTGCACCATCTCCATATTCTAACTTTGCAAAACAGGCTGTTTTCACAATTAACCATCTCTTTGTAACATATTGTCGTGTTATGTGATGCTGTTTTGAAAGAGTAATGCCAAACAGAATAAAAGTGAAGCTTACCTCTGCACTGTACTTTTCAAATTGATGCAGAAGACTGTCATATCTATATTCCCATACGGCACGTTGATGTAAGAGAGCTGCTAATCCAGCACTGTACCTGAACCACAAATATACCAAAGCCAGTCCAAGAAATATTACAATTGTTAGTAAACTTGTTTTTGAAGTAAGATTCTGCATGATGGTTTTGGACAACCTTCTGTTAGACACTGCAAAATAGAATTAAGAGTTTAAGGACAGCAGATTCTACTTGAATATTAATCAAGTTCCTTAGCAAACAAGAAAGCTTGAGACTGAGTAAAAATTCAGAACAAGTCATAAAGCAAATAGAGAAATACATGTGTCTTTGATTCAGTAGTTTTTTCTCAATTGATGTAGTAGCAGGATTAAGTGGTTTTATAAACATTACAGATAGTTTTAGCATGTTTGATTTTTTTGTTAACATAGTTAATCTTTACCTTGAGCAATCACTTGCAAAATAAAGCACAATGCAAGAGCCCTGGCCCTGTTCTGTGAGCTATCTTAGGAAAAAGGCCTGCTAATGACTGCCAAATGAAATGATATTAAATTGAAGACTTTCCAAAGTTATTCCAATCTAATATTTTCTGAAATTATTAATCAAGAAAACCATTTAGACACGGTATTTATTCATTATTGGATGGAAATTTGTTGAATGGTTTCCTTTGCCTGGAGAAATTGCTTACACAGGTCCCATTTAAGCACTTGGACACTCACGCAGGCTATTTCTTGCAAAAAGGCCTGTCTCAGGGATTTTTGTTCTGAGTTTTGCTGCTTGTTCAGGGACAGTATTAGAGAACATTGTTGGGGGTGCAGATTCCTGGATTTGCTGCCAAAGACGATACTTTTGAGGTGTGATAAACTCTCAAGCCAATTGAGAATACGGACAATTTGTAGGCAGGAATTGTAATTCTATTTTACACTAGGCCCGTTGTGCATATATGCTTATATTAGTTCATGTTTCTCTTTAGCTAGGATATATTAGTTTGTCGTACTTTAGATTTTTCATGTTTTTCAGGAGGGAAGATATATTGCATACCTTTTTCAGATACAGTTGCCCATGTATCCTTATATATTTTACACCTCAAACTAGTTTACTAACAAACTCATGTAGTTATAAAACAACAGTTCATTAACATACTCATGTTATATCATATTATATATTTATCATGTTTTATAATGTAATGAGAAGTAGAAAGTTAGAAGTAAAATGCTTGTGAAAGGCCACTGCTGTTGGACTTGTAAAAGATAACATTCATATGATTTGTATTTGCGAGAAGCAAATCTTGAGTTTTATTCAGTATCTACTGGTCACAAACCATTCTTACCAAATAAAATAAAACCTCTCAGACTGGTAAAAGGGGTGGGATCAGCTGACAGTAGTAAATGTAGGAAACGTAAGAAAGGTGCTGGAAACAAACCCAAACCCAAACTTTTCAAGACTCAGCTCAGACAAGCTTATGACGATACCTCTATGCCATTGGTGCATATCAAGGTCAATACCATAAAACATCATTTTAAGAGTCTCTACATGGTGAGACCGTTTTTAAGATGGAAGGAAAAATACAACTGTTCATAAAGAGGATGAATATTTCAATCTCAGAATGATGTTCATCATATTCAAACAAAACATGGATGAACCTGTGTATTATTATCAATATTATCTTCAAAGCTTAAAACATTGGAGCAATTGACTATATATTTAGATTCTAGAGAATTTTTTGTTACTTTCAACAAGATCTGAAATCATATCTTTTCTCAACCAAGTACCAAATAGGATAACTCTTCACAAATACTGAATGATTTCTTAATTTTAATGAGATCTGTTTTACTTTAGGGGGTGCTCTCTCCTTGATTAGTCTACCTATTGAGAGGTTTCTTCCTAAAGAAATTCCTCTATATACAGAAATCCTCTAAATTCAGTTGTAACTGGTGACCCTGGTAAATTATATGTACTTTAGAAGGGCTTTTTGCATTCAGCTTAATTTCAAAATCAAAAGCTGAACTGAACTGTTATTTCCAACTAACACAATTGTCTGTGCTCGTGGCAAGAACTGTGGAACTTTTCTGATTTTTGATATAATGGCATGACAATATGTCTATGAAAGTGTGTTCAACAAGTGTTGGTGTTTGGTCTGAAGAAAGTCACTCTGCACGCTCACTGTAAGCTTAACATTCGACCATAAAAGGAATTTGCATTTCTCCTGTGCCAGACTTAAACATGTTGCAATTTCAATTTGATACTTCTAGTTTTGGTGTCTACCAGTCAATTCCGGGTTTGTGGTCACAAAATCAAATCTTAGCATTTAGGTAGTGCTATTACCTAGAGTTAAGACGAGTTTATATGTTCATTGTTTAAAGTTACTTATTAACTGTGGCCTCAAGGATTAACTTAATTAGCATAACTTATAACATTTTAGAACCATTATATCTTCCTCTTTTATTCAGTGATAACTTCCATTTCTTTTTTAAATTGCAATAATTCAAACCTGTTGCATATTTCTCATGCTTAAGTTCAAACAGTAATTTTATCGACCATTGCAAATAATTTACTAAGAAAAGAAATATCCCCCCTTTTTACATCTTCTACATCAACCTCAAACACTAAAAGGTAATATTATGAACCAACTAAACTTTTCATTGAACCTAACTGGATCTCGCAAACTTTCTTCCTGTAAGCGTAGGCCAAAATGCTTCGCCAGTGACGACTCAAAATCCGTGAAATTGATTGATGTATTGGGCCTTGTAGTTTGCAATAAAGTATTATTAAATGCGTAAAAGACTGATGCAGCAATGTAAACATGAAATGTGGAAATACTCACCATTTAATGAGTTCATATGACCAAAGTACCATCTCATTTGCTACCTTAGCAATGGTGGTATCAACAATGACAATAGACGCGTGGCATTCAATGCTCCTTCGCAATAACACTGTGCCTGGGTGTGCCGGGGTGAAATAAGAGATGAAATCTGAGTATTCGTTTAATCTAATTTATTTTGAAAATTCATTTTCTAACATTGGATTCTCGTCGCCGTTTTGCCCTTGGCACCCAACAGAATGTTTCTATTGACGCCATAGGGGAAATTTTCATTGCCATATAGTAAAAGCTGAGTTAGAGCCTTATTTGACAGGTTTGTAGGTCCAAGAGGTCGTAATATGTCAAAGACTCCAGCAAGAAGATCTTGTCGTTGAGCAGCGAAAGAAGGGCAAAGCAACAAGAAATGTTCCGCATCCTCAAAGCCATCATTCGAAGGGCACATTAGGTTCAAAGTATCTCTAAAATTGTGTTTGACTTTGTGAGAGTTTAACTTGCTTAGATCATCTCTAAGTTGAGTAAGAAGGGATAAACCTATGGGGTCATGAATTCTGAAGACAGACTTTGCAGGGGGGCGGATAATTAACCAAATTTTTTCACTGAAAATAGTGACAGATGGTGCAAGTCTAGGATCTGCTTCAATATTGTTCCATCCAAATAAACAGTGAGGATAAAGACTAGATTTTAATTTTTATGTTCTCGCCATTATTTGCCCTACGTTGCCCTAACTGCGAAAAGAGTAATGTGACTGATGAAGCTGAGGGATTGGATCCATCATATAACTAGGGGAGAAACTTTTTACAATCTTCTAAAACAAAGTAAGATGTCTGCTTCACCTATGGGAACTTACTGATTCCCAGTCAAGCTCCGTATATAAAATTTTTGTCGCAAAGTTCCCCTCCATGTGCCAGTAATATCTAGAGCAGCAGAATACTACACAGGCACTATCCTTTCTATAAGACTTGGTAAAAACGTATTCTGACTGAGTTGGCCCATTGTTTTATCAACTCCAGGTCATGATTCAAGTCATTGGCAGCTGTAGTAGAGTCTTGAACTACCGTAAAGAGTGATGTATCGTCTGCAAAAAAGCTTGACATTGCACTTCAAATTTGCAGTAAGATTGTTTATAAAATAAGGAAAAACAGAGGACCCAGAATTGAGCCCTGTGATACACCTGCCGAAATATCTCCCCAATTCGAGCTCTGTCCATTAAAAAAAGTTCGCCGTTTCCGATCTTTAAGGAAGCTTTAGATAAGAGATAGAAGTTGTCCTGAAACACCATATCGTTTTAGTTTGTAAATTAGACCTTCATGCCATACCTATAAAATGCTTTGGAAATATCAAGATACACGGAGCGAACGTTGAGAGGGGGATTACAGTCAAATGCTTTAAAGATTGTATGTGTTATTGAGATTAACTGGTTGACTGTTGAGTCACCGGGATGAAAACCTGATTTATTTGGATTCAGTAACCCATGAGAATCAAAGTGTGAGTGCAGATAGTCATACACGAGTTTTTCAAGAATTTTCCCAAAAATTGGGAGAAGAAAAATCGGGCGATTGTTTCCATTCACATTTTTCTCATTTTTCTTGTGGATTGGTACTACATTTGCATGTTTCCATATTTCAGAGAATACAGCCCCCTTCAGACAGTTTGTAAATATTATCTAAAGGGGAGTAATTAATGCAGCATCGCTTAACTTTGTCATTCTTACAGATATTTCATCCGAACCATGTGCTTTATTAGGGTTTAATGACCTTATATTTTTTTATGTTCAATATTTTTTCATCAGAAATAGAAAAGTCATTTATAAGAGCAATAAGCACTGGTATGTCATGTGGAAATCCACTACCTATGTGAATGGTCGTGCACTGCAGTATAAAATAATCATTAAACAGCTGTGCCTTTTCCTTAATATTCATTACAAATAGTCCATTTTCTAGAAGAGGTGATCAGAATTGGAACTGAACTGGAACTAATCAGAACTGAACTGGAACTGAATTGAACTGAACCTAACTATACTGCACTGAACTGAACAAAACAGAACAGAATTGGAACTGAATTGAACTGAGCTGAATTGAACTGAACCAAAACAGAACTGGAACTGAGTAAAGCAATATTTCCAGTATTCATCTGATGTGCATGAGAAGATTGCAAGATCAAAAGAGAAACAAGTTGTATGTCGTACAGTAAAGAAGCACGCAGCAAATTCAATGCAAGGGCTGATATAATTTTGGAGCCTGTAACCAGAAACAACCACAGAACAGTTTGTAAACGAGTAAACTCCTTCTCAAAACAGCATTCAATAAGCCTTATATAACTGATATTGGTATATATATACATAACACTTTGAAGCACGCAATTGTTAAATAAATTATCACGCAATCTTAATTTTATTGCACTACAAGTTAGAGACTTTGAGAATTATATAATTTTAAGTTTAGGGGACTTGGTAAGGATTTTTCTAGATTAATTTGTAGATAGAATTGCCCGAATGGAGCCTGAAATGCGAAAAATTTCACTTGATTAGACTACCGATTATAAAGGCCTCGCAATTTTTGTTCATCCGACATTATATTGTTTGAAATAATGTTTTTAATTATCATCCTCAACATTTGTGATTCATTCAGGACAACAGTCATACAACGTGATGCTAGCCCCATTTTTCATAACTAATACCTCTAGTTAAAATCAAGGAAACGTTCAAACACAGAAACAGACAAACAAACGGTTAAGTGAAAGCTTTTTATAGGAGAAAGAAAAGAACCATAATATAAATGGATTTGTATTTTACATTTAAAAGATGACTTGCAATATAGTCTTCAATCACAAGCAAACTAATCCTCAGAGATCATATGCAATACAAAAAGAGGTTTCGATTGTTTGAAGAACTTCTACAGAAGTTAACCTGAAAAATATCACGTTTAGGGTGATAAAATTACAAATTATAAATTTGGAACCTATTGGTCACATGAAATAGTTCAGAAACTTTGGCTGACTTTTGCTTTTTCCCTTACAGATAAACCAAAAGAGCATTAATTGGTGCATTGAATCACCCTCAAACACTGTTAAGCATTGTATCAAAATTTCCCAGACATTTACTGACCACCTTTAAAGAGCTTAAACATGTATAGATTACCTGTCATACAGTTCTGATGAAATACCTGATTTCACAGGGTTTTCTGCTTTAATTGCCATGCAATCTTACTCATCTGAAATGATTTGTCAAGTTAAAAAAGGTGAGATATGTAACATATAGCTTGAAATTTTTGCTATTACTAAACTTTTCCATTCAAGCTTGTGACAGGATAGCATAAAACTTTCACAGTGAAACTGATTGTCCCAATGCCATATGCAGCAACTAGAATGGCTTCTGGTTGCAATTTCAGTGATTTCATTTAACAGGTTATAGTGGCCCAACATTTGCTAAATGTATGTACATAAAATATCCACTAAATTCAATTTACACTAGCTTTATTTATTAAGAATTGAAACAGGATTGAAAACCTACAATCAAAGCTTGAATTTACTTTTGATTAAACCATTTTCACACAAACTTTTCAAAACTTAAGCTTTTTTAATTTGCCTTATATTTCAAGAGGTTTCAGAAGCTGGGAGCAAATTTTCTTGATATTGTTGAATAGGTAGGTTTTTTCTTTGCTTGGAACTAAAATTGCTTCCTTGGAACTTTGAAAAATTGCTTGGAACTAAAGGATGGTAGCCAAGTATCAATGAAACTGTCATGATAAAAAACAATGTTTGTATTTTTGGCAAAAGTCTCACCAAAGTCTAAGCTGTATTTCAGAGCATAAAGTAAGGATTGTCTTGAAACAGTAGTCTAAGCTACATTGCTTATTTCCCAGCTCAAAGTGAACAAATCCTCCCCCTCCCCCCTAACATGTTTTTACCAAACCAAAACACATACAGATAGATAGGTGACAATAACTAATGGGTGGCATACTCTTTTAAGTAATTCAGTTCAACTTCATGACAGCTTTTTATTGGTTTTTGTGTTGCTCTTCTGAGATTTACTCATATATCCATGTCAAACTGTATATCATCTGAAATAAGAAATATGGAAAAACTTATGCATACTTTCATGAATGAATAAATTTTTCCACAAACAGAAAGTAGATCAATTATATCAAAAGTGGAAAATCATTATAAATTTGATTGTGCAAAATTTATGTATCACATATCTACAAGAAACACGGTCGCATTTATTTGTGATCTATTTTGATCAGTACACTCTTGCCAAAACATTAAAATAAGACATGAAAATTATTTTCACAACCAGCTACCAAGCCAAACATTACAAATCAAATAATACAAATGTGTTCTTACTCAAGGTGTAAAACACCTTTTCACCAATCATTATCAGCTCTTGCAAAATTAGTTATTCATGCATTCTGTAACACAATCTTCATATTCCTAACCACCCTAACCAAAGATCTGAACATATTTTGATGGCCTCACTCATTTTGAAATAAGTATTCTAAGCAACTCAAAGTATTTACACAATCAATGTAACAATCGAATTGCTTGAGTATTTACATAGGAAGATTTTCCATCATTAATGAAATGTATACTGTACAATATCATCCACAAATTCATCCAGAAATCCAAAAGTTCCGAGCTTCAAAGGGTACACAATAGAGTACCTTCATCTCATCATCCCACACTTGTTTTCCCGATATTCTACATCCTCCTCAAATTAGCCCCCCGGGGGCTTATTTATTTTGATGTTTTTGGATGGGGGTAATTCAAGGGGGGGGGCTTGTAAAATCATAGTAGAAATTAAGAAGACATTAATAAAAGATCTCATATATTCTAAAAGGAATTTCTTTGTGAACATTTAATTAATTATTATCAAAAGTATAAAATTTTGTGGTTATTCAAAAAACCACCAAAGGCAACCTCAATTTACAGTAGAAGTGGGGGCTTATTCGAGAAAGGCTTATTGACAATTTGCAGTTCCAGGGTGAGGGCTTATTCGAGGGAGGAGACTTTTTCGAGGGGGAGCCAATTCAAAGATTTAGAGCATCCCTCAACCATAAAAGGTTTCTCCAGCATTCTGTTCAATTGTGCAACCACCTTAAACTTAGCAAGTTTTAAGCTAAAACTTACCATGCCCCTTCTTTTGGTCAGCTCCATTTTGCTCTTCCATTGGAACTGGCATTTGTTTATTGACTTTGTTTTTCTCATTTTCATTTGCTTCTTCGTCTTCCTCGATTATTTTTCCACTGTCATCCAATGTCACACCAGGTATAACAGGTAACTTAGTTGGAGTTTTTGAAAGAGGTGAATTTTTCAAATCAAGCAGAAACTTCCTTTCATAGATAATTCGTGTTCCTGCAAATATGGCAATATTATGTCAATGGTCACAATACAACAAAGCTCCTTTATATTTTTGGAAAATGAGGACAAAAGAAACTTGTGATGACACAGAAAACAAAAAAACGTAGTAAACAAAACATCCATCCAAAGGTATTGGGTATCTTACAGATTGGGTACTTGTTTGAGCAAAGCAACTTCACTAAACTACTGAGAGGTTTCTCCAAGCTAAGCAAAAGAGTCTACAAGCAAATTGATTATTTTTCTGTATGAGGTCTGTTTCTGTAATGAAGTCTGAAACCAGTTTTCAAAGTAAGATATATACATGAAACAAAGTTTAAATTTACCATTGCTCTTTAATGCAAAAATTCAAAGCCCATGACAGTTAATTGGCAAAATGAGATGTTTGTGAGAGATCTTATCAAAACAGCTATATTCAACAGACTGGGCTGCAACATGTAGGTACTTATCCGTTAGCAAAATGTGCAGTAAAAAATTGAAAAAGAGCTCATATCTTGCTTAAATTTTTCACTTTTGTAGCAAACAGTACCTAATAATTTATTCAGCACAAGGCTTGAACATTCGTGACACTTTCACTTTCGATTGATTTCTTATACCAGAACTACTGCGATAAATATAGGCCACTTTTTTCGTGATTTATTTTGGAGATTAACCAGTTGATATCCTGTGAACTACGATACACGTTACTTGACGCGATACAAAGTAGAAGCTGCAGCTGGTATTGTAAACATTCTCAAGTGGCGCGTGCAAGCGGAGACAAAGATATGCTGCAAATGGTTCGACCTGCGATTCTCGCCCCAAACCCTGGCTCCATAACGAATGTAAACATTACATTTGAGCTGCCGGAGAGCTCAATTTACGTTGAAAACCTGCCTTGAACTAAGCATCTCTCGCATAATAAGTAATCTTGGAAAATAAGAAATGAACTCTCTAGCGAAAATCGTGTGCGTTGATAGGGTTTTCGCGATCAAATAACCTCTTGCGGATGGAATGGCCTAGGAAGCTGAATTACCTTGCTCTGTTAAAGCGAACGATTCATCTTTTCTGATGCACAAGGTAACATGACTATAGTTAATTTCTTCAAAATAATTCACTTTACAAACGCTGCACCATTCTTACCTCCCGGTGTAGTTGAAAATAAAGTTCCTCCGGGAGTTTCGGAGTAATGTGATGGCATATGAGAAGGGTCTTGTACAATGACTCTCCTCATCGGTATGCCTCGCGAGATCGGCTCTCTCTGGTCATTACCGTTGTCCAGGCTGTTCATCGTGGTTGCAAATGACAGAATACCGAAAGAGAACGATATGCGAGAAAATTAAAGGACGTTAAAGTGTTCTGTCTGTGCATAAAATGGCAGATTTCTACAACTATGCTTTCCCTTCCACGTTATCTTGGTCCTTCACCAGCAAGAAAGCGACGAAAACATTGTCACGAGGCATGATTTGCACATGCGTAGTAAGCAAGATTTATGTATTCACATCCGGTTAACTCAATGCGCATGCTCAATTGGTGGCCCGGGGAAGGGAGTTCCTGTTTCAGATCTGATGCAATCATTGAAGCACACAGCTGAGGTGGAGAGCATTGAATTCTAAACAAGAAAACAAATAGACCAAATTTTTATAAGACTACCGGTTGATAACCAACTAGGACTGGGTCACATCGTGGGAGAAGTTGTAAGAATTAGTTAGCTAAGCTATATTTCGCTTTTGTTACTCTGCTACTTTCTTTTAGGGTGGAATCTTTTTGAATTCTTTGTTGCAAAGATTGTAGAAGTCAATTTAAAAAGTGGATCTCAAGTGAGTGATAATTAAAGTTGCTTTAGAATAAAGAATACAAATTGAACAATACTCTCGGCAAGAGAAAAGGGTTGCGAGTAAATGACCCTTTATGTAAATCAACCCAGCCCCTCCTTGAGAGAAAGGGGGCAACTTCATTCTTCTCAGATACAATTTTCATTTGGTCTTTATTTCCATAAAACTCGACTCCTCTGTCAGCAATTTCCGTGCAATACACGGATATTTCATTACAACCAGAGTGAAGGCCCATAAACTTCATCGACATTCTGTCACGCTTTGTTTTCAGAAACGTTTATTCTTATCTGTTTAGATCTATATCTGTTCACACTGCTCCAAAATTCCAACAGCTTTTGATTTGAAGTAAATATTTAACCAAATCTGAATTGCTTGAATCAGATAAAACTAGAAAAGATCTTTTGAAGGGTGAAAAGCTTGATACCTGTTTCGGAACACTGTGCCCTCTAAAAGCCTGATAACGATTCTTCTTAAAATAAAGCGTTGAACACAATATGTAAGAATGATGAAATTAGCGAAGTGAAAATCGAAGTAAATTAGACCGTTGCATAAATTTCCGGACCAGCCAAATAAGGCATAGTGATTGATTTTTGCGAAATTTGGCGTATTCAAGCATACTAGAGCAGTCTGCAGCCATATAATCCCTGGAGTACAACCCAATAACCATTGTGTAAAATCATTCTTTTTTGTTCATTTATTCAGCTGGGCGTTGAATCCCAGTATTTTATTGATCTAGTTCAGCGAATATGCTTATTTATCCAGGTCGTCATTACGTAAGCAATATTGACAAAAACAACCAGGCTAGTTCATTACCATATATTTGCAATTGAAGCATTGCTTTTCTATGCAAACTTAGAAGAAATTAACTTGTAGATTCTTTATGCCTCGCAAAACCCACACGAGCAGATTCAAATAAAACTTACAGAATACGTACGAGTGTTTGCCAAGTGACAACCTAGAAGACCTTGACAACTAAAACACGTTATCAGTATTTCACAATAGTTAAAATGTCGTACAACGAACTCTAAAACTAGATCTAAAATTAAATCTAAAACTAAAATAAATAAATGAAACTTTTTCACAATGAATTGCATTTAAATACAGCATAGTTATTATATAGTGAATGCAAAGACAACAGCCATAATTCACAATGAGGTAGAAAAAGCCTAAAACGATTAAACAAGGGGACACTTGGAAACATAATTATGTAACTATCGTTTAATTCAAGACACAATAAACAGCATAAATATATTTAATCCAATCAAAATACGTTTAAAAGTTAAGACATGATTCCAGAGTACTAGAGATGAAAGTATGATATTCAAAAACAAACCCTCTTAAATATGAAACAGCAATATTTAGATCTACCAAAGTTAGTAATCACTGTATTACTCTTTCATTTCAATAACTTAATATCCCAATGTTTTCTGGGACCAGTTACAAGAAAAAAGATTCGGTGCATTTATATTCAAAAGCAACTGAGCCTTTTCTATTTTTCGTAACACCGAAAGCCTACTCTATGATACAGCTAGCTGCCCACAGATGCTGAAGTGCCTGCCATTTGAAAAATTTCAAAACAGTCCTTAGTTCTAGGCTACGAAAAAGAACGAACTGATACCAAGAATAAAAAATGACATGACAAAGAAAATCGGATTGATCATGTGGAAAAGTATCAGAAGGCATTAGAGGGAATCAGAGGGGTAACCCCTGTTCCATTATCATGCATTGTTGAGTACTATGAATGTTTTGTATATGGGAAGAATGGTGAATATGCTGTTAAAAAGTTCACACATTGTTAAAGCTTCCTCAAATTCGTCAGTGTCAATGCATCGTTGGGATTTAATCTGTCCGCTTCTAAATAACTCACTTCAGCCTCATCAAGCCGTCCTGTCAGGTGAAGCAATGCCCCAAGGTTCATGTGGTGAACAGGGTTCTAAAAGTTGAATAGCGCAAACTTCACACAAGATCTTTGTTTAAATAACCGCTATAATGTGGATGAATGAATCGAAAGAAATTCTTAATTGCCTTTACCTATCGCGTCTGAGATGACAAGAAACTTTGGGGCAAAGAAAACAGATAAAACAAGAAATGCATGTCTGAAATAACAGATCTTTCTTTCTAAGAACTGAAATCACAGGTTCCAAAACGTAAGACAAATGTATGCACGATACTGCTCCAAAAACCACAGACATTATAGAGTTTCATATATTCCGAACGGTTCAAAAATGGGTTTACATAGTAGCTATCTAGCGTTGCTCTCCTTGAATTAATACATAATACTGTACTCCGAAGATTTTTTATAATTATACTCTGCAGCCAGGTAAACTCAAAGCGGCCCTTTCGGAAACACGACCGTTCTGAACATAAAACAACCAAAAATCAACCTTGGACATTTATTAGGGACACTTGGTGAAATTACCTTTGGGTTTACCAGAATTGCCTTTCTGTAAAAAAGCTCTGCTTTGTCGTATACGCCCGCCTCTCTGAAAGTTAAAAACAACAACTTAATCATGTTCTCATTCAGAATATCTCTACCCAATTACTAATTGCAGGTATTTCATGATGATAAAAAATGATGACAAAAGCAAAATCAATAATAATCAAATCCTTTCTTATCACTTTCTAATATTTTCTTCATTCAATTCTCAGAAACCAAACTTAAAACCCCTCATCCCGTTAACAGCCAACCAGCCGTTCCAACCTACTTTCCCGTGTGTATCCTACAGCCTCCATCGGGTACCAACAGCAGGGGAAACAACTAACTTTAAACATTGTTATACATAAACCGAGTATTTAATAGGAAGAGGGAAAGTAAAACTGCTACCTGAAACTAGTAGCTGCAAAAGACAATAGGTCTTCTTGGTCAGGTTTGAGTTCCACTGCTCTATCAAGTTTTGCAAACCCTTCCACTTTCCGACCACTTTTTAATAGAAACTCAGCTACAACATAAATATAAAGGGGATGTCAGAATTAAAGAGGTAAATATGAAAATTTCAATACAAAACGATAAGAATTGTAGTGACAGTATTGTAGTACGTAAGCTGAATTAGTAAAAACGTTACCAAAATGATAATGTGCATCTGAATTGTCCGGTGACAGCTGCAATGCCTTCGAGTACCACTGCTCGGCTGCTCTAGCATTTCCCTACAATTAAAAACCGAAGTCACACAAATGTAATAAAATCAACAGGATTACGATAACAATTGTCCTTCTGAATATATAACAGTCCTAATAATTTAATCCCTTCAATTTTCTTTTTCCAATACTTTACCAATCATTGCTTACCTAACATTTAAACTTCTTGCAAGTGATAGATATGTTTACATTTTGAATCAGGTGATAACTAATCTGTTGATAAAATATCAAAATATTTTAGGTTAAGAAAATTGCAAATCCAGAGAACAATTTTGCTGTCCACCTCGGAGTACCCCGATGTCATGACAGTAATGAAGAGCCAGAACGCTTTTGCATATTTTACAAAATATCTCAGAATTATTTTTTATCCGTCAAAATACTAATCGTTAAAATTACAGACACAAAGCAAGGATGGCTATTTAAACAGCTGGAAACGTAGATTTTACTTGTTCTTTTTTTGTTTATCAGGCAATAATAGTTGAACAGTCCCTTACTGCACAACTTACAGTCAAGGCCAAGTGCCGTGCGTATGTCAAATGGGCAGGTACGTGCGTTTCATTGACACGCAGCGATTTCAAATACCACTCTTCTGCTCTTTCATTATTACCAAGAAATGAATAGGACTGTCCTGGAAGTAAAAATGACATCACTTCAAAAACAAAACACTGTATTGAAGAAAATCATCATCATGAAAATCTCAACCGAATAAGATGTATATTCTTGAATATTTGTCTAACATATCGACAGTTCCTACAATAAGCCATTGAGTTACAGGTATGAACGAAAGCGAAAAAAACCAACCTAGCATATTGTACAAGCTGTGCGGGGCAAAAGAGTCAGGCATATCATCGATGGCTTCATGAAACACTCTGACTGATTCCTTTGGAATAGAGCAGTTGCAAGACAGTGGTTATTATCAGTTTAAAATTACAAAATGTTTCGTAAAATTACGTAACGTACACGAAGTTTCACTAAATCAGTTAATTCATTCTCATCTTGAAGCTTTTATCTTAAAATAAAACAGGTCGAGTAATTGCCTGAAGTAGAGCAAATAAATGCAGATAGATCTTAAAATTTTCAAGGGCTACCTTGTGTTTTCCCAGGTCAAATAGAATCTTGCCGATATTGTATTTGATTGACGTCACTAGAAAGAAAAGGCAGAAAGACAGTCTAAATGACAATTGGTTGACCTTAAAACGCCAAAGTAGAGGAATTATTTTCCTTCTTTAAGAATATGACAATGACAGGTAAAATTACACTTACGTGAATGCTGATGGGCTTTTGGATTTTTCAAACCATGGTCGCTGAGATTTTTTGCGTTCTCCAGAATCTATAGATGGAAACACAAGAAGAAAAACTAGCCACATCAAGTTAAAAGCAAATTTTCACGCCCTTCCTCAGTCAATCATTCAATGGCTCAGTCAATCATTCACAGCAAAATCAGTTACGTGATTAATTCATTTATCATATTTTATCTACTCAACCTTTTTATCTATTTCAGTAAGCTTTATCTGAAGGTTAGCATTTCAACAATGTATAAATAACCACACTTTGATACTATCAACCATACTTGAAAACATACTTTCAAAGATTATTAAACAAAGTCACGATGTTGAAGAGAAATGAAATAACAGGCTGTTCACTGGATAAACTGGAGAAATGAAACAACTCACTGTCCGAGCCTATCAAGTAATAGCTGACGGTGGCATTCGATTGCTACGGAAAACTTCATACATTTTAAAGTCATAATTAATAAAAACAACAATAACTCACCTCAAGGGCCTGTTGTTTAAGGCCAATCTCATCAAAAACCAAGCCAAGATTCAAATGGGCGGCTAGAAACGTTGAAACAATTACGAAATAGATAGCGACTACCACAAACATAGCAAATGAAAAATACTTCAATAACAAGATCAGAAACAAGGAAGAAAATCTTTTGCTTCAGATTCTCTTTGAAAATGTCGTGGCTGTCTGAACGCTCGTTATTACAAAGCTAAGAAGGGGTTCAAACGAAATCACCTTGATCAGGGGTGACGCTTTGAGCTTCAAAGTGGAGGGTGAAAAGAGTAGGAAGAATTAAGATATAATTTACCGACAATGTATTTAGTTGAAAAGGGCTGGCTGGATCCATGCTCCAAAACTATAGTTGGTGCTACCCCTGTTATCATGCTCAAAAGACGTTTTGCAAACTATTGCGATAAGATACAAGGATATTGTTTCAAGGTAGCCAAATTAAACAGTCAAAGATCACTGAATCGAATAAAAATTCAATTTGAGTTGGACATGGGCAGCAAATTCGGGCATAGAATGTGACGAATAACTTAAGTGAAATCTAGTAACAGGCATTCCATGGTCGATTTCCAATCTCGCCAAGAGTGCCGTTTCTTCCATGAAAGGGAAGTATCTGATTTTGATTAATCATTGTAACCTTAACGAGACAGTACGTGAAGAGACAATACTTACAGGCAAGACTTGGCCTGAACACGATCGCATTTTTGTAAGATCTAATCGATTCATCATACCGCCTCATATTTTGGAGCAATATTCCCCTGAAGCAAGATATAAATTTTGTTAACGAAAGATTTGGAAACAAAAAAATCATAGCCAACACAGAATATACATGCTTAGAAGATCCCATATAATGAAACGAAATATGCCTCTTGAAATTGCAAAACAAAAAAAGTTTATGAAAAAAACTGCTGTCTACAAATTGATCTCTATAAAAATAAAAGTAACAAACATTTGCATGACTATCGACAATTCAAGAGCTGTCTGTAGAATTCTAAAATTAAGGAACGGTAAAGGAAGTTTCAACTGCCACTAGAGTTACAATGAATAAAACTGAAATCCATTGAACATAAAGATTCACTCACAAGTTGTAGTGCGTATCTGCCATATTGGGTCTGGCGGCCAGCGCATTACGGTAAGCCTCCTCCGCAGCTTTAAATCTCCCTTTGTTTGAAAGTATGATACCCAAGTTACTCCAAGCTGTATGAAAGAAGATGATCACTTACAACTTCAATAGTAATAGATCTTAATCGATCACATATGATAAGTATATCAATACAACTTTTATCATTAGCAGGATTCTGGAAAACAGCTTTGTTTGAAATCGTGATTCTTGTTACGAAGCAGCTTAATATACGAGGTTGCAAAGTCGAAGAAATGTCAAGTGAACAAGCATCTGGACTGTGGTCAAAAAGCATAAAATTCTCTTAGTGTTATATTGGTACTTAATCCAACCATTCAACTTCATGAAACAAATCTATACAAAAATAAATCAAAAGATAAAGCAGTCATTTACCTTTCGCAGGATTGATGTGTAAACCAGACCTGGAAAATGATCATTGAGTCAAAGATTGAGAGCAACCAGCATGGAAGTTATCATACAATGTACGAAATCTACAGAGACATTTATCTTATTGAGTTCAAAGAGAGTCGAGGGTAGAACAACTATAACTTGTTCACCATCAACAACTACTGAGTAGGCAGCTATGCAATGACCATCGACTTACAAGCAATCCAATATATCGACACTTGCCCATGTCGGCTACGCTTTTTTCAATTTTTTCTACATGAATATACTTCTGGTTATTCACCAAAGCAAGTCTTTAGACCTTAAAACGTGATACAAAAGTGATTCAGAAAGTAAGGGAAATATAGAAAAGGAGATTCCAACAAAACAATAAGAAGATAAAATTCAACAAGAAAGCGAATAAAAGTTGAAAAACAAACCTGTATAAAGCCTCTTCGTCTCTCCAATCTTCATTCCTGAGTATTGTTCGTAACATTAGCAGGCAAAGAAAACAAAGCACCACACCCTTCAAAAATGGTCTAAATTTCAAAGATGCACTCAGAACATGTCCAAATCCAACAGAAAACAATAGACAAAACCCAATGCTTGGTATGTATAGAACTCTTTCTGCAATAACAAACCCGACGTAGAAAAAAAGGTTTGATGCAGGCAAAAACGAAATTACTGTAATTCCAATAGAAAAAATTGCAACATCAAAACCATGATTGGAGCACTGTTCATCAATATCGTGAGGCTGCGGGTTTAGAAGGCTGGCATCTTCATTCACTTTAGCAGAACAAAATTCTGCAGCTCCTCTAGTTCTTTTACAGTCAGTTTTGGTCATTCTTCTATTGAATGCCAAGTCTGCCGATGAGCCTTTGTTAAATTCATTATTTGAGCAATTATTATTCGGAGCTGTAGATGTCTTTTTAGAGTGAGAATGATCAAATAAAATCGGGTAAGAATGGTTTTTGCTGGAGTTCTTTTGAAAAACGCTTCCAGAATTTTCTGATATCAAATCAGAGTCACTTCCATACATACAATTAAACTTCAAGTTTATCATTGACGTGAAAGAGCAGGGTTTTGCTTGCTTCAAATTTGTTTCCTTTGCCCATTTGATTTCATTGGCAGATGGAGAATCTATTGCACATGTTAAGCTTTTCAAACGAAACGTAGAACAACTAGACATACTTCCAACAAATCTGTATGTCAGTGCCCCCAATGCAGAATAAAACAAAATGCTCTCTATGTTCCTTTTGTCATAGAATGATATTATAAGTGGCACAGCATCCATCGACCAATCAAAGCTCAACTGCCATGGAAACAACAGCAAATAAAAGTTCAGTACTGGGAGGTATATAAATGTCAATACACGAACTTTAAATTCTTCGTGATTGGCAGTAGGATTGTCTGAATTATAAAAATTTGGTGTCCTTAAGTCCATGATCTGTAAACGCCAAGACAAAGCAAGGAACGCAGTGAAAAGCAGGATAAGAATTCTGATGAAACATCCTCGGCTACTGGCCTAAAAAAACAAGAAAACTAGACTTTAACTATAGACTTAAACAGACTTCAGCAAACACCTAGCCATTGTCTTTCAACTCATAATACAAATGACGCTATCTAGAGAGAAGTCTACTCAAAAGAGGAACACAAAGGTGAACCATAAAACGCTACATACTCTTATGACAGAATCTTTTAACCTGTCCAGCTGAGGTTTGGCATGGAATATGATGTCATAGATAAGACACACTGCCAGTGCTGTTAGCCCTGTTTCTTTGCAAAGCATTGCAGCTATACTCGACAAAACTGAAGCAAAGACAAACCCCCACTGGGTGGGACAGCCATTTCTATGTTTGTTTGTGATGTTGCTTGTCCCCTTTTGGTATGAAATTATAGAAACAAGGAAAAACATGCAAGATAGCACATCTGCACGACCAACAACTCCAGTGACTGCCTCTAGAATAGAATTATCAAATTAAACACCATGAGAAAGTAAGGCTTGTCAAAAGAGTGAAAGCTACAGTAAAAACATACATAGCAATTTATAACAGTTATTTAAGTACTGATGGTACTTTTCCTGTTTACAATAGTTGGAAACTTTGGTCACTGAAAAATCCACCCTCTGACAACTATAAATAACTTAAGCAGGGATGCAAAACATCATACTTGTTCATTTTGTGATAAAAACAAGAAAATTGGAAACATAGAGAATTTGACAAGCTGAAGAATATCAGATATAAGCTCCATACATTTTTTAACCCTCTGTTAAGGGCCCAGCATATGGAATCAATATCTATAGAAAATTTGTCCCTGTCCGGCCTTGGGTCCAAAAGCCAATCACTTAAAAAGTTTCTATGGGCAGTTTCTGAATAAGTCCTGGTTTTTCTGCACATGAGCAAATCAAACTTGTTAATTTATGGGAGATTCTTATTTCCCAAAGTACAAATCAGATTTTATTTCATCGAAGTGGGTTTCATGCTCCTAATTCTAAAGTAATTTCAGGGCATTATTTGAATGGATCTTTAATTAATATTTTTCAGAGTATCAAACTCTCTATTTTTACTGATTTCAATACTTTTCCCACCAAATGAATGATTCTGTAATTGGCTATACTGATAGCTAAAATTCAAAAATAATTTCAAACAGAGCCTTGACATACCAGTATGTATGGGGTGAACAGCAAATAGCAAACTTCCAACAAGGCACTGACCAGTATTCTTAAACAATGAAGTTGCGAGCACAAAGAATAACAATGAATTGACACTGTGTATCAAAACATTTATAAGGTGGTACCCCATTGGATTCAGCTTTCCTGCAAAATAATTCAGTCTGAAGGATATCACTGTCAGTGGCCTGTATGACTTGTGGCTCCCTGAATGTGATAATGGTGTTCCCCAAAAGTCGTTGTGCCAAATATTGACCCATGGCGTACTTTGAAGGATATCTGCATTGCTGATGATTGCTCGACTGGAATTAAAGCATCACATATTAAGAGCTAGACTTGGCAAGGCACAAGTGTTGATAGCAAAATACATTTGTACTTTTTGCACTCACTTCCATTTGCTTAATGTTGTCCTAGATGAGAATATGGATTTAAATCTGGAAGCCTACTTTCTGAAAATTTTGCAGGCAACCAGGCACACCAGAACGGGGGGCTGGGGGCTGGGATGCTGGGGGGTTTTCACTTTTTTGCAGAATTAGAGTTAGCTTGTGGCGCCAAAGATAATGATGGAAAAACTACCAAAAAAGTTTGCCAATTTATCTAGAGAAAAAAGCTCTGACATCCCTAGCAATTTTTTCTTGTCTATTTTTGCACCTGAGCCAGAATAAGAGCCATATATTTAATGTTAAAAATTCAAATGGAAGTAGCAGGGTCTAGTTGGCACTCATATGGTCCTGTTTAACAAAATGTTTGTTCCACATTAACTCTGCTGACAAAATTGAGCACATACATTCTACAATCGCAACAGCTTGCAAACACTCTGCCTTTGTGCTACACTTCAGTTAGCCTAAGACTGCCAAAAATCATTCTTATAGACATCAAGTGATCCTCTGACAATACATAGCTTGATAATCGTGGAAAAGAGTCTGGTAGGTTGGTGGGAATACTTGTCAATAGACAATGGAAGAAATCTACAGCACTTGATACTGTGCCCTCAGGCATAACCATAGGTTTCATTGCCAGGGGGGCAAGTTGGATTCATTTAGCAATAGCCAGGCACTGTGGAGAAAGGGGCTGGGGCTATAGCCCGTACTTTTTGACAAATTTGCCAAAAAATTAAGAAATGAACGACCAGTCAAGCCTCTCTTTGTATTCAGTTTTAGCCCCCCTTTCGTTTTTAGCCACACAAAACCCCCCACTCAGGTGTAAAGATTCTGAAACAATATTCTAGCTCTGAAACTTCTTTTCCCATACATCAACCTATGCCTAAATTTGTTGGAAAGGTGCTCTCTCCACTGTCTAAGTGTGGTCCTTCTGAGAAAAATAACAATGTGGGAAACTCCTGTGTCTAAGTAGGAATTAGCTGCTAAACATCTGTCTGCCATTTGAGCAGATTAATGACTGTTTCAAAGATATTCCTTACATTTGTGCAATTCATGATTCAGTTCAATTTACTTGCTTTATCATTTATGTAGACAATGTTGAGGAAGTTCAAGTCTTATGATAAGAAGAAAACCTTCAACAAACAATTTAAATCTACTGTCAGTATTCTGTCTACTACATCTTGATACGGATCAGAAATAAGACGATGAAGGGTCATGGTTTGTTGATAGTGTTTTATAACCTTTTTAACCTACACAAAAAGCAAATAATTTCCAGAGAAATCATAACCAGAAGCCTTCAAATAGTTTCAATAGAGAAAATTTTGCTTCAATTACAATTTTACACAAATTGATGGGTACATGTCCTGGGGTTATCAGTTTGGCAGTAAACGGACTATAAGCTTTTATCATGGCTAACAAAGAGAAATGAGCATAGATGAAACAAATTAATCGAAAATAAACATCATCTAAAATGAAAATCAAACTTACTTGTCGTCATAAGCAAATCCGGCTTTAATTGCATTGAAATATGATACTAGTCCAACAAAGGGTACGATAAAGTAACAGATTATAATCTTTTTGTTGGCAATCATTTCCCCCTTCGTAGACTTGGTATCGTTAAACAGTTGGAAACTCCTCCATTTTCTAAGTGATCGTCTTCCGCTCAAAACAGTTTAATTTGTTTCCTGCGTTTCTTCATAAAGCCGTCGATGAGTGTCAAAATGGTGTGACTTTAAATGCTTGGATCAGCTTTATTGACTTAACAAATTAATTCTAAACGCAAACAATGGGCGACAGGCGTATCAACGCTAAAACCTTCAGACAATCGTAACACAATAAGACATACTTCTTTACAGGTACCCTGAAGCCCATTGAGAAACACAAAGCCCAGCTAATTCAAAACTACCTATTGGAAGGCTTGTATACCAGTGCCACTCTCCCGCTTGCAAACAAATTCCGGAGAGAAATTTACAAATAATATCAATAAACCAATTATTTTTAACAAAACCCTCGGCCTAAACTACCATTGACTATTATCGATAGCCTATTGTTCCACAAGCGAAAACATGGTGTGAACATCGTTTGTCCTTAACTGGAAAACAATAAAACGCATATCAATACCTGAATATTGGCTTTTTGATTCACTTCCCTCATAATGGAAACACCCAGGAAAACATTAAGTGAGGTCACGTTGCAAGATGGAAAAAAAGGAAAAGTACTGATCAGCCTCGATTCCATAACACAAACTATGACGTCAACAACGTCAAGTTTTTAAGTTTTCGTTCAATGTTCTGACGTTTTATATTCTGTGAGACGGAAAGAGTAAGTATGTTTTGAAACAATTTTTAAAGGTTCTACGAGAGAAAAATTTCTACTTCAAGAATACCATTCTCCTTCACCCAAAGGATACGGATTCAGCAAAAAATGTTTTTGGGAAAGTTAGGTAAACCTCTAAAAATATTATTTGCATAACCAGCTTGCTTGTTGACGAGAGGTTAAGAAAGGATAAAAGGTTCAGAACTTTTAAGTTCAAATTACTTCATCAAATAATCTGTTTAGAATTGATAAGTGTAAAAAATTTACGACATTGCATTATGTTATAGAAGCGGATTATTGGCCATAAGACTGTCATTATCGTTTCAAAAAAGATCAAAGTCAAGATTAAAAGAACTAAGCCTCTGCCCATCTGCTACTTTGATGCCATAATACAGTAAGGTAAGCAGACCAAGAACGCAGGCTCTGTCAAACATGAACATTTCATTTCAGAGTCATTTCTTGTGGTCAAGCGATCTGTGCTGCATCTTATTCAAACGTAATTATGCTATGAAAAGCATTAACTAGCGAAATATTTTTTTATTAAACGTGGTTGACATATGCCATACAATTCTCAAAACTAAAGGGCAACTCAAAAATATTTGATAGGTAAATCTTCCTCGAACAACGCACAAAACATCCCCGAACAAATCACAAAATTTTTACGGGAGAAAGAACTCTTTAGGTCACAACAATTTAAAAAACAAATCATGGGAAAGATAAAAGTAACCGCATAAAAGTAACGAAAGAAAATACCAAAATTGCCACAAGAAAAATTGTGTGTCCATTCACACAATGTCACGGAAAACAAAAAAATCACAACTGACATGCAAATAAAAGAAAAAAGAAACGATTATTAAGGAAACTTTACAACTGCTTTTAATTAATTATAGATAAGGAATAAGACCAACGAAATGTTGTTATTTGTTTGAAGGTTTGAAAATAACAACATATTAATACTTGAATTGCAATGTTTCGAGATTCCAATTCAAATGATAATGGTAGTAAACCCAAAGATTTGAATGACGCCGGTGTGCAAATACACGAATCAAAATATTCCTAATCCTCTTTTTCAAGCGCTAGAAAAAACCAGCAATGATATAGAAGCGCTTCTTTATCATTGAACAGCAAAGGGATGTCTCTGAAACGAAATTATTCATCACAAACGAGGCCCAGTCACTATAAACATCTAGTAAAGTCTAATGAAAAGCAGTCTCTGGTCACTAGATAAATGAAGTTAAAAGCATCTGAGGAAACATGAGATTTTGTTAAGGGTTTGAAGAAACATGCTATTCGGAGTTGCTCCTATTCGGGAAAATCGATGGAGAAAGGTAGGTGGATGGACAGTGAAATGTGCAATGGAAGTTGGTGTCAGTGGACAAAAATACGGTGTTTGGCCTTTCAGAATAATTTAACAACTTAATTTAGCATAAACTAGCCTTCGCATTCCTTTGTTCAAACTGCGTAATCAGGGGCGGACAAACCTTTTGAGAACTCAGTCATAGAATAATTAGGCGAGAAAAGCTCAGAAAGTGCTATACTTGTCCCTATCTTTTCATTTTCCATACAAAAACCTTTAAAGGTCGATTATAACACAGAATTCGCCAATTCGTACTGCTTAGAAAAAATTCTGGTTATCCACTGCTTTTGGTATACGGGTGGTTTCAAAGATAGAAAAGACCTTCAGTCTCATTAGAATGCATTAGACAAATTTTCAAAATCTCTAAAAATGGACGTGAACATGGACAAAACTAGAGTCATGATAATTCAAAAACAGAAATCCCGTGCTAAATCTACAAAAAATAAAACTTGGAAGATTGGCGATAAAGAAGTTAACGAATGTGTCTCATATAAATATTTAGGTGTAATGTTAAAATCGAACGGGTCTTTCTCAGAACACATCGTTAGAATGAAAGAGAAAGCTCATAAGGCCTATTTTTCCCTTATAGCTAAAAGCAAAGAATGGGGCGGTTTTCAGCCACGTCTTTTTCTCTATCTATTCGATCATACGATTGTTCCTATTCTAAATTATGCATCAGAAATATGGGGTTTTGAAGAATGGTCTAAGCTAGAAACTCTTCATCTAAAAGCCTGTAAATATGCTTTGGGTGTTCGACCTAGTACCACTACCGATGCCGTTTACGCTGAACTGGGAAGAATAAGTCTTCAAACCCATAGACATATACGTATTCTAAGTTTCTTCGCTCGATTATCAACTCTAGATTCAAAACGTTACGCTAGCAAAGCTTTTGCAATGCTTATAAAGGATGCAGACTATGGCCACTCTAACTGGGTATCTCATGCCTGCGACCTTAGGGTACGCTATGGAATACAGGAATCGGATAATCGTTCAGTTATAAAAACTAAGGTTATAAGTTATTTCGAGTCAGAAGTACGGGGAAGATTGAATGAACACATAACTGAGAACAAAAAACTAAATTTATACGCCTCATTTAAAACAATTTACAAATTTGAGTCTTATCTTGATTACATACAAGATTTCACTGTTAGATGCATATTAGCAAAACTAAGAATCAGCGCTCACAATCTTCAAATTGAAACAGGGCGATTTAGTAAAAACAAAACTCCAAGAGATGAAAGGTTTTGTCCGTACTGTAAGACTTTAGATATTTTCAAAGTTGAGGATGAAGTACATTTCCTCTTAACTTGCCCCCTTTTTAACGAGGAACGGCAAATTTTTTTACAAAAAATCCACAAAACATTTCCAAATACTTCCGCGTTGAACGAATTCAATATGTACATTTGGTTAATGAGCCAAGAAGATTATATTACAACAAAGGTTTTAGGAAATTTCTGCAAAAAGTCCTTTGAAAAAAGATCAAAATTTTTAAGCGACCCCACAAGCATTTTAGATTAACAGCTAATAATTTTGTAGCTTAGTAGCTTTTGCTGAAAATTTAGCTTTGTATTCGCCGTAGTTGTTTTGTTATTAATGCGTAGTTAAAAATGTAATTGTAAAATTGTAATTCGCTGTAGTACTGTAAGCAGTTAAGGGCCATCTCGGCCTAGATACTTGAATTGCAAAAAAAAAAAAAAAAAATAACGATTTACGCGTCTCAGGAACATTGTACAGTATCAAAGATCAAGTTTCAGTTCTGGTATCGCACGAGGATTATTCATGATACAATACAGTAAACGCTTTATATACGAACTGAAAAGCACATGGCTTACATGAAACAAATCCATGATGACAACATAATTTGTGAATTAACATGAACTTGTAATACGAAGCATATCAATCACAAATTGGTAAAAGCTATCAATGATCTTAGTTGGCCCTAATCTCAGTAATCTCAAGTATCGCAAATCTCAGTTGGCTCTTATGGTCTCTTTGTTAAATGGAGTGTAAAGATTTTTGTTTTAGGAGTATATATTTAGCTTCTAATTGTAAGTTTCGGGGCACTCAGAACAGGTTAAGCTCAAGCACGTACACTTTGAAACAGGTTAACTTCAAGCACAACAAAATGCCCAGTCTCTTCATTCTTTTCGATTTTAATGTCTTTGACTTTAGGAGCAGAGCAACGATTCTAGTGTCACGTTTGACTGTTATTCATCAATTTGTTGACGCAAGCAATTATTACGTCTGCAAAATCCATTGGATATCAACACAGGCATTATCTTCCTTGGCGTTATTGGGTTTAGCATAATTAGGCCGCATCATTCGGAGTCTGGCAGGGCCAGCTTTCTTTCATCCTTTTAGAAATTCATTATTTCGAAAGCAAATAATAAAATCAGTGAGGTCAACATGAAAGACACTATTTCTATCACGCAAATTCTACATCGACCACATCAAAGAGACAAAGAGAAGTAAAGACACATTTTTGTCACATTCAAATGTACAATTACTTGTGAGCAGTCGATTAGGAGAAATTCGGGGTTGCAATACAACGTACAAAGCATTTTCACAGATTTTATGAACAGGAAGCAACTCTCCATCAGAACAGAATCTGCAATGTTAATCAAAAATGAAGCCTTGATCTGGTGTAAGTGGTCCGCCTTGTGCAGTTTGCAGTACAAGTGAAATAAAACGCTCAAAGTTTCAGCTTTCTCCAGCTGCCTCTCCTTGCTTGGCATCCTGCTCGGCTTTCATTGCATCTTGTTCAGCTTTTTTAGCATCAGGTACCCACAGACCAGAATCAATGCATCGCTTCAGATGGTATTTCGCTTCATCTTCCGGCATTGAGGTCAACACATCTTGCAACATCTGAACATTCTTTGATTCAAAACAATCTTGCAGTTTCTGAAAAAGCATAAAATTCCAATGGAATAAAATCTATTTCAATGTTCAACGCTAAAACTTTCAATGTTCATTCTTAGCTTACACGATTATTAATTGTATCAGTATCAAATAATTAATTCTTAGCACCTACGACAATTTATTGAAAAACTTCCATTATTAATTTTGTATCATTTAATAGCAATTGAATTACACCGAATTTAATTCAGGATGCATCAATGTATTTAACTTTCATTTTATTTACTTTCAATGTACTTTTTAACTAAACGGGCCCCCATATTTCTTCCTGTCTCGACGGATCCTAAGACAAAGATTTAATGTGCATTAAGCAGGAGCCATGTGAGAGCCTTTTACCAAAATTACAGGCCGATGGCTTTCCGAGGGATGAAGTCGACCTTTTCGAATGCTCGATTTCAGAAGACGACATGGTCCAAGAAGATATATTAGAATTGATAATTAATGACGATGACGATGACAATATTATTGATATAGAAGGCTGATTTGATGTTTTTTATTTCGCAAGTAACAAAAAAATAGTTTAGTACTGAAAATGGCTCTTTATGACAAAATATTTATTAAGCTCCCCCTCTCTTATAAGCCCCCCCCTTTAAAGTACTGAAAAAATAAGCCCCCGGGGTTTTAAAACATAATTTACGGTATGTGTATAGCTGTTGTTTGTTAAAGACTCGTTTCAAGCAGCTAGCTCTCGGTGTGCGTTTGGAACAGACAAAACTTATCGAAATACTTCGAAGATAACTAGTAAAATGTAAACTTTGGTAAAAATACTATCAGAAAAATTGCGAATAATATGTGCGTACAAGGCAAATTACGTTGGAATGATGTGTTAAAATTCATGAAGACAATTACCTTGGGTAATGTTTCAAAGACTTCGACAGGATCAAGTCCTCCAGGGCCAAGTCTTTTTTGTTTTTCCTCCTGTTTGATATAATTAGAGTACATAAAAAACTTTTGTCAAACATCGCTGGGCCCATGAAATGTTCATTTTTGTGCTGAATTAATGGACCAGTATGAAAAGGGCAGGATTCTCATAATAAAAGCCAAGGAAAAAGAGCTGCAACGTCTCAAGCTCAGAAGATCAGCCTTTTAGAGACCTTTTAGAAAGTGTTTTTATTAACACAGGGAAGTTAGAAAAATCTAAAACTCACGTGTAGAAAAAGGTTTAACTATGCTAAACATTCCTTTTAACAAAGAATTAAAGCAAACCATCAGAACCCCGTTATAAAAACTTTAAAAACACTAAAATTTTAACTGAATGGTGACCCATTTTTCATTCACTTGTTTTTAATAAGCATGTCAAACTAACTTTAATATAAATTTAAAGTGCAATATGAAACCCAGAACGCTGTGAAGTAATGAAATCCTTTGGCAAAGTTGCTATAATAACTTTTCACCGGATGTAGATGCAGTTTCCCGAAAAAAGTATCACGATAAAAGATATCGAGAGCGCAATTTTCAAAAAGCACATGTTTCACACAGCAAGCGAAAAAGCGATTGGCAAACTCACAGCCTCATATTCTTCCAGCGCCTTTTCTATCCTTGCCTGTGCCCTTTCTTTGACCCTTTTGATGAAACTTTTCAGTTCATCTTGGAAACCATCCATGTACGAATCATCGGACTTTCTCATTCTAAGCAAATAAACAGAGCTCAATTCACAACAACATTTTCCCAAGGTAAGATAAAACGGCAATGCAAAAGCAAAAAAAGAAAAGAGATAGAAAACGTAAGTCTTTGAGGGACATGATATCTTATAAAACATGGTCCTCTACAGTTAACAAGCGCAAAGACCTGGAAAACTGTAAAGGCCATTAACATTTTTAAAAACACCAAAAATTGAAAAATATACTGAATGTAGCCCATGCATCTAGAAAAAGTACATTTAACATTTTGACCTGAGTACTACTGCATGTAAGGAATTTGAAAAAGATGAAACATGATCTTTGCCTATCTATACAATATTTCATTAAAAGATCAGAAAATTCCAAATCACTTAAAGATGATTATTATTAGTATCATAAAAAGATATCAATACGTTTAGGACAGTTTAACAACTATTGTTCCTTAATTATCATTCCTTATATATATGCAACCCTTATTAAAAAAGAGAAAGTCAACAAACTTGTTAAAAAATGGCCGGATGGTACTTCTTGGATCACATTCCATTGTTCTTGCTAGCTCAAGCAGAAATTGCATACAGATAGTTTGGTGAGCAACTCTCTCCATTAATGCATGTTTCTAACAAAGTTAGATAGAATGAAAATTCTTAAAAATTTCTTAGCCAACAAGTTACATATCAATATTTTTCACAAACAATGTGTACTAAGAATGTTACAATAACATTTTGTTAGAAACCTTTTCAAGAATTAAACTTCGAAGACATGAGTCATCAAAATTGTAATTTAACTGTTGAAGCAAGAGTGAAAACTTTAATAATGTTATTCTAATTCTTTAAACTTACTTCCTCGACTTCGAGGTCCACACACCAAACAACCAGGTAATTAGCAGTTTCTTCACAAGCAAGGTGGCTGTTTTTCAGTAAGAATTGTTCACTGTCATGGTATTCATGCAGCATTCCATACTTTTTAATATCTTCCTTGTGTTTTTTTAAAAATTTGTTCTGTAACAAAAGTGAATCAAAACAATGAATCATGGCTGGAAATCTGTAAAAAGTGCAAATATTTACAACGTCAATGCTGTGGTGAACCTTTTTATGCAACTCTCGTTGCAATAAGCCCAAATGACACTCTCAGTTTAAAAATAGATTATCAATGTCAATATCTTCTTTGGCTACTGGAATTATTCCCAGTGACAACTCTTAAAGTCAATTTTATCTGTTTTTAATGTCTTCTCTAGTTTATCTCAACATAAATCCAGCTCTACACTGTCTCAAAAAACTGTCCTCTAGAATGTATTACTGTCAATCTGGTATACCCACAATCACATGTAATCTAGCATAGTTTCAGTTTAATATTAAAAACACAAATAAAATGCATGAAAAAATTCATCAGTAAGACTAATGCTGGTGCGGTTTCAGATAAAATAAATCCTCAAACCAAGGTTAGTCCTTACCCAATTTTCCATTTGCTCTTCATCAGAAACATTCTTCTTCTGCTTTGGTTCAACTTTGTTGATTACCTAAAAAATAACACCCATCCTTGTTATTTTCTTGTTATTTCTGATTCAATCTTTTCTGCAATTGAAACAAAATATGTTTTGCTCTGTTAAAAGTTCTATGTTCAACACTGCTGACAATAAAAGACAAACCAGAAAAATCAAATAAAGATACTTTTAGTTTAAAGATGGGTTCAGAAGTGCAGTAGGGCCAGTATTTTAGGCAAAGCAAAAAGCAAGAATTTCCCTAAAAAAATGCTTTAATTTGGGGATAGACGTCAAACATCCTAAAAATTACTTCTAAATAATAGCGAGCTTTTCAAATTTCAGACAACAAGGAGCCCATCTGCCCCTGGCTATCCTACAGAAATTTTTTTTAAAATAGTTTAATTGGAAAGTACATTAAGGATAAATAGTACAAAGAATGAGGCATTAGCTATTGATCAAATAGGTTTGCCTGATGTTACAATACAGGAAAATCTTGACTGCAGAAACATATTAATGAAAACATCATGCTTGAAAGACAGGTAACAGTACACTACTAATTTCCAATGATGAATCTTTAAAAGCAATCATCATTTGAAGGCATAGATAAGGTAAAAACATACCGTCTTTTGAAAACCTGGTTTACTCAATGTATCAATATTCCATGGCTGTGCCTGCAGCAAAGGATTACACAAAATAATTAGGTCACTTTTTAATCAAGCCACATCTAATTAAACCCACAACTTCAAAATTTCTTCACATGATTGCATTAACTAAATAATGGCTGTTTAGAAATACAAACAGGAATGACTGCCCTAAAAAGTTTTTTAAAGCCTAGTAAAAAACAGCATCCACTGACAAAGCGGCTCACTCTCCTGACACCCATTGGATATGAAGCATGAAAAATTGATTCGAGTCTTCCCTTTGCTCAGTTTTCCATGACAAATTCTGTTATCACAAATATGATTCAGTTCATTTCATTTTTAAAATCTATACATACAAATCTTTTAAAATACAGCAGCATGATTAACTCAATCAAGTGGTGAAATACAGGGCAGCCTTACTTTTTCTTCATCAATGAGTTCCTTTTCCTTTTTCCTAAAATGTTCTTCCTGTAAGACAAAACACTTAACTTTCAATGGAGCTGCAAATGTTAAAATGAAGATGTTAGAAGACAATAGGCTTCACTTTGTACAATTACTACTTTATACTTACAATTACTACTACTAAAATGCCGAGCAAAAATAGTTGAGACATTTCAACTAAAGTCTATGTTTTCACTTTTTTTCAAGAATAACTTTTCCCCTCAATGTTGAATGCATGTTTTTATAGTACATATAGAATTTGTGTCTATTTTCAGAATGAAAAGATGAAAAAATCAAGAATGAGATACTTTGTTATCTTTGTTCACAAATCTATAGTTTTAATATCTCTATAAGTCATAATTTTAAACATGTAGACAGACCTGTCTTTTTAATTCATCAATTTCTGCTTGAAGAAGTTTCAACTGATCTTTCTTCCCTTCAACTTCCAACTTTTTCATCCGTTCTTTAAGCTCATCAATCTGTCTTTCAAGTCTGAAAAAAAAACAATTTCAGAAAAATCTTTACAACATTTGTATGTATGTAATATGCAACATGAGTCAAATTAAACAAGAGACACATAAGTAAAAACAACTTTTCATTTTGCTGCTATCTTATGTGACATATCAAGAAGGTTAGAAGGCTAGTAGAACTCTAGCTTTAGCTACTTTACAACCTTCAAAGACAACTTAAAAAAGGGGGGGAACAAATCATTACCCAAGTGACAAAATCAGTTGAGGCACCCTGCAAGAAATAAAGAGGGAAAATATGTGCCCTTGGTTATGTGCCCTTGATTTAATTGGGCAAAACTTTTGAGAATGCCTAAGGATCTGCATAGCCAATCAGGGAGCAATAATAATAACAACATTGAAGCTCGTAGGATAGTTTGTTAGAAGCAGATTGTGGTATACTGGCAGCTGAAAAAGTCAAGACATCAACCTTTTCCCATGGATTTTATCTTTTACCGCTGGTTTACAAAACAGCATAGAAATTTTTGTTATGTGTACCAAAAATTGAACTGTGCCTATCTCCCACTGAACAACTCCTTGGTGGACAATAAACAGGCAGTACTTTCAAAGAGCCCCTGGATTTTGAAGTAAGAAATGACAATTTAATAAACTTCGAATATAGCATGAGTGTTGAACATAGTTATTTTAGAGGTCTCCCAGACTGGAAGCTTTGCTGCATGCCCACGAAATATTCCCAGCACACACAAATTTCCCATTTGTGCACTTTTGAACTTTTGCCATGCGTAGATTTGATGTAAGAAGTGAGAGCGCAAAGTGGTGGGATTCCAAGTGCACAGTTTCATTTTTTTTAAATTAAATTGTTTATGGGATAACCTGTTCGTTTCTAAGATGAACTTGTCCGAGAAGCTTCCTGCCTGGGAGGTTGAAAAATGTCATGACAGGTAATGATTGATTTTTTGAGGCATATAACTGTCATAGTTACAAAAAAATTACAAAAGTCAACATATAAAATTGATTTACTTTGTTTTACTTTGAGTTACATCCTCCTTTTTCTTTTCCATTTCTTGCATTTTCTCAACTCTTGCTTGATGCCTCCACCTGAATAAGCTTGGAGTGTCGATGTTTGGATGAGTTTCGTCTTCATCATCACTGACCTGACAAACAACAGTAGTCAGTAGCAGCTCGAAGATTGTCTTATAATAAATTGAAAATCAATGTAATCTATATTATTTGTACCTAGAAAAATAAGGATAGGCAATTGGCAATCATACTGAATATTTATTTGAAAAAAACCGCAATGAGGTGGCAATGACGACACTCAATACCTCAATGTGGTCCCAAACACTGTAATCAACCATCTTTAAGCGATCAGCCAAAAAACTGTAAGAATCCCAACTTCCACTTTCAAAATCTTGATGTTGGACAGCGAAAATGCCAGAAATTGGAACAGCAACAGCAACGAAATGACTCCATTTGAAACAACTTTTGGAATCGTGCAAAGGAGGCTTTTCAGTTGCGAGCAATGGGTGGGGGGAGGGGGGTTGGGATAGGAGATAAAAAAGATAGCGAAGGAGACTGACTGAACAAACTGAGACTAGGAATTCCAATTGATAAAAAAGACGGGGAAAAACTAACTTTAAGATCATAATTACAAGTTAAAAGTGGGCCATGAAATTTACCATTGTCAGTCATAAAACGATGCTTTGGGGCGTTGAAGTTTATAAGTAAGATTTTGTCAAAACGTAGAAACGATCCAAATTTATAGTCAGTTGGACGCGTAAAAAGCCATTGAGTTTATCTTTTCTCTCGACAAATGCTGCAAGCACAAATATAGATATAAGGCCAATTTAGCCTTTTTAGTTATCATATCAAAAAGAACTAAAAGCTGAAATAACTAATAACGAAAAAACTGACTTCAGATGAGCTTCAGGCCGCAGCAAACCAATCAACTCATCAGGTCTTACTCTTATCCCGATTACTTGGGCATTACATGCCTTTTATAGACAGGTGTGTGGTGTGCAGGACACATTCCAAACATTGAGGTTCTACGGATATGCCTACTCTGGGTACCAGAACCACATTGATCCAAGTGAGGATTTACCATGCCTTGATGGTTTCATAGGCGTAGGGGATGCCTAACGTTTAGGGGGCTTAGCATGGGTGTTTCCTGGACATTTTTAATTCATTGAGGCACAATTGCTCGAATGGGGCCTGAAATTTGATAATTTGTTTCTGATTAGGGCAAATTGGAGGGGCTGCGGCCCTATCCCCTATACCTCCTGCTCCTACACCTATGAAAGGTATCAAACTGCAATGGCAAGAGCCCTTTTCCCTATACTCAAACTATGAAAATGCATAAAGCAGAAACGATTTGTATCGTTGGCAAACATGAGCAACGAGTCAGATAAACGTTAAAGAACTTTATCCGAAAAATAAAGAACTTAAACACCCAGTAGCGTTATTCCATAGAGATAGGAATATTCTTACTCCGCCCTGGTCAAGTGACGTAACAAGAGACTAGTCATAGCGTCTGATGTTTGTCTTTTTCCCGCGTATTGGTGCGCAGTGCGCATGTGGAAAGTGAACTTGGCGGTAAAATAAGCTTGGTGAGCACAATCTATGTTTTTACAAATTTATGATTTATAATACAAGGTTTTAAAACACGAGATATGGCTGATATAGACGATCAAGATTTCATAGCTGAAGATGGACTTGCTGAAGCACTTACTCAGCCAATTGCACCCTTATCGCCACTACGAGCAAGTAATGGGCCTAGACCTTATGAAAGACCCCAAGAGCTTCCAGCTGGACAAGAGGAAGATACAGAAAAAGAGCAAGGGAAAAAGGAAAGAAAGAAAGTTAACCGCGTGATGTTAAATGAAGAAAGGCTCATGGGAAGGAATGGAATTGTTCAACTACCGATCGTTATGAAAAATGTTAAGTTTAAAGGTAAAGGACAGGAGAAAGAAGACTTGAGTTTGTTGTTAGGGAAACTGGAACACTGGGCGCATGTTTTAATGCCAAGGCAACAATTTTCAGATGTGGTAGACAAGATCGAGAGTCTTGGAACGAAAAAGGCAATAAAAAGGCATGCTTATGGTGTTAAAAAGGGGACAATTTTGTTTAATAACGAAGGTGTTATTGAGGATACTAGCGAGACTGTTGTCCAGGGACAAGGTGATCTTACTGAGACTGTTGGTGGTTCACAGATGGTATCAGCGACTGGTATACCTGAAAATGTCTCAGGAGTTAACGATGAAATTAATAATTTACTAGAAAATGATTTTCCAGATCTTAATTTACCATAGCCTTTAGTGTTTTGAACAACTTTTGATTTTACATAATTGAAGTATGTATATAGGGACATTCTGGGCAATGGATAACAATTAAAAACACCAACTGTAGGTTTGACAGAGAAAAGTTGTTTACCACCCCTTGTTTACATTCAATTCAATGTAAATCAGAAGGGCATCAATAATTGAACTTTGATTGGAGCTGGAGCCCTAGGTGTCCCTTAATGTTAATCAGTAACTGCAAATTTGGCAGTGAGTACCCATAATTGTTTTATGTTGCTTGGTGCCAGAGCTGCTCAGGCAAAATCAGATCTGCTTGTAAGTAAATTATAACCATTCACAAAAACCTTGCATTATATTTGTTTAAGCCAGTTTCTCTCTTGTTACTAGCGTGATGTTATGCTATTTGTTACTAGCATGTTATTTCATAATTCAGCAAAAATGAATGGCATGCTTAAGGCATTATACTTGATAAGGAGGAAACAGTTAAAATGTTCTTTAGAATGGCTTTGGTGCATAGAACAGTGCTATCTTTTGTTAGTTTTGAAGTATAAGGTCCAACACTTCAATAATATGCCATATGAAACAAGATTTTCATCTGAGCCTTCGCTCAGGTCATGTCCATTAAAAGCAAGAGTGTGTTGAATATCAATGTTGGAATATTTCAGGGCTTTATTATATTATATTGAATGGAAATCTGACTTCATTACTCTTCAAGATTGTTATGTAGAGCATTGCAAATTGAATTCTCTTAGACACTGGTTAATTAAAGTTTAGTCAGACTGCTCAAAAATTCAATATTCAATATGGTATCAGTTGGGTCAAGCAAGGACATATGACTTGATAACATTAAAAAGACGATCCATATTTTGTCTCTAATTTTTTATGTGTATTTAATGTTTTTATATCTTTTTATCTGCTCATGAGTTTTTCCCATCACACAAAACATTTAGCAATTTGAACCACTTTATGGTTTTCTAAGTATATACTTACCATTGTAACTTGCATTTGACAACTGCAGTGCAATCATTCCTTAGTTAGTTGTATTGCGATGGTAGATAAAGTTGGTAATCAAACACAAGATTCATCACCAACCTAACATGATCACTTTTAAGTCATTTTTATGTAAGCCAATCTTATATTATTAATCTTTACATCAGGAATTTAAGCATACTTGTTCATTGGAACTTCACTGCCTTAAAACTAGCCAGCTGAGCTAATTTTCAAATAATGATATTTTGTTTTATGTAATTCTTGATATTTATCTCGTTGCATTAAAAATATTTTTGCTCTAAATCACCACCCTTACATAAAACGTCTGTTTCTATGTTGGCTGTTGCATCTGTTGACACCACATCTAAACCCTCTTCGTATTCCAGTTTTGCAGCTTCCCCGGTTTTCACAGAATGTGCATGTTGTTTTACTACCTTTTTTGATCCAAGAGCTTCAACTTTCTCCACCACATCTTCAAAAGAGTACCTACAAATAAATCCTGCAATCTTTAACTTTTTGTCTTGGAGGATCAGCAAATCAGTTCCTAATGATAAATTTTTTATGATAAAAAATTGAATTTATTTTTCTGGTTATGTTATGCTGGCCATTAGCATCACACATAACAAACATTGGACAACCTAACACCCATGGCAACTGGCACCAAAGCTTTTGTTTTCCTTTGTTCTTTATTCCGAAATTCTAAAGCCGGGCGTCATTTTTAGATTTTTTTCTAAAGCCGGTTCACCAAAACAATCTTTTTGGTATCCAAGTACCCCCCCCCCCCAACCCCGGGTCTACAACTCTCTTTGCTTCCATTTTTTGAAATACTATTGCAAGTATTCAGACTCTGACACAGTACGAAGAATGGCTTGTTATGACGTAATGCATCGAATAAGACAAACGGTATGAATTCCGGGCAAAAAAGTTGCCTTCAATTAATCTTTAAAAAACGGAAAGCGGTTCGTTCGGTAAGCGCACCGCTTGTGTATGTCAAGTGTCTTCTGCGCATCCTGTATCGTATACCGTTTTCTGTCCATACCACAGCGCGTGCGATTATGCCAGAATTTCAGTAAACTAAAGGTCATTTGTAGAACAATTTTAATTAAGTTATACCTTGGGTACAGCTGATGCGCCCAGTACTCAAAATATTCCAAAAGTTTCTTCAAGTTTTGCTCTTCTTTGCCACTCTTAAACTCGACGCCTTCAAACATTTTTGCTAATTCTGATAAACCTTTTTTAGAGCAGACAATCTTTTCGTTTAGTTGGTGAGCAGCCCTTTTGCGGAGTTTGTCGCTTTTAGAGCCAGTGATAGAACCACTAGCTGTTTCTTTTTCGCCAACTTCTTCATTTCCATCAAGAGCCAACCCTGGCGAATCCTCTGTTCCAAGGATATCTTCGGCGGCAATCAAACCGTCACCATCTTCAGACTCCATTGCTGAAATTACTGAATTAGCACTGCACAACAGATCCTAATGCTGTATCTAGAGAATGGGACTTTGAATTGCTAACCTTATATCTATCACCAGTTTGTTATTAAGATATCAAAGGGCAATCTCACAGGACGTGAGATTTGCTTGTGCGGCGCTTTTTGCGTGTAAATGAAACTCTCCTGCGATATTTTGTAAGAGTAGTTACGTGTCCATGCTTTTATCTGATGTAATGCATTGGGACAATCATGCGAGCATTTTGAAAGTAATCTTCGTCCATCAGTCATCGGGGAATCAGAGAAAAGGGACACCAGGGCGCTTGCAATCACTTTCCTATCTAGCTACAACAACACTCGTGCTATCTTCTTTATTTGTTTTTGGTTCTTTCAATGATTTTACGCTCCCTTTTTCTTACTGCGGGCGACCATCAGATCTTAAGACGAATTTCTTCACTATCAACAGAAATTAGGGGGGGGCGGGGAGAAAGAAAACTGGAGCAGGAGAGGCCGATAGGGGGAGTGTGAGAAAATTTATAGTACGGCAGAACATATTTTTTCCAGCAGTTGTATGAAATTATATCTAAAGTTGATTTTGGCATCTGTATGTTACCCGGAAGGCAAAAATATATTATTCCTACTGCATGTAGTTTGTTAGAAGTAGGTTAAAAAAGGACCAGTTAGTTGGCCGTTTCAGTTGACGGAAAACATCAGCGAAGTGCCTTCGTAATATATTTAAATAGCTGCAATCCCAGCAAGATAGGTCAAGACTGGGTCTTTTTTTGCTCTTTTATAGTTATAAATGGTGGGTCATGTAATGCAATTTCCTTCATGTCAAACTCTAGAAACATGAAGTTTTTTGAGGAAGCCCGTCTTCGACTTAAGGGATTATTCACTTAATGTTGAAATGTTACACAACCTTTTTCAAGGTAAGCCAGATTTCGGGGGCCACATTTACATAAACGTGCATTTTAACATATGTGAAAAAAAAGAAAATAGGAAAGAAAGTAAAAGCGGAAAGAAAGAACGAAACAAATTGAAAAATATTTGCTTTTGAAAAGAAAAACGCCGTTCAATTTCCCTCCGAAATTTGAACAGCTCCCAAATCCAAAAAAGGCAAGCAGTATCCTTTAAAATTTCAAACTCTTTCCAAACGTTCACCCTTTTATCAAACTCATAGCAAGAAGATATTCAATAAAAGTTTGTGACCTGCGGACCAAAAATAATGAAGCATCTGGCTCTCACTTATTACATCTCCGTTTGGGAAAAGAAAGCTTAAAATAAGATCAACGCCAAATTTTATAAAGACTAAACTCTTGCCCTTAATTGAATTAATTTCATTGCGAAACAGTACTTCGAAACAAAAGAATTATAGCAGGGGTCATAGAAAATTGTTCGTTCATTTGACACAAAAAGTAACGTTTTTGGGAAACACGAATAATAGGCAGCCAAAGTAGACCATGCCAACATGAAGTGTTTTTGCCTTCACGAGCTTGCATGAAAGCGCAAGTATAACTAGCGACGACCTTCTTTTATCGACTGTTTTTAGGGTTGCAGTTATTGCTGCCAGGTCAGGAACTGTGTTCCATCTAAATGAAAATACGCATGAACCGAGTTTCAAAACCAGTTTGACTTTTGGCACCTAGATCTTCTTTTAAACCAATTTGAGCATTATGAATTTCGATGCAGGAGCCCATCGACTAGAGCTGTATTCGAAAGTAAAATGCCCGTTTGATGGAAGTATCTTCAACAAGGGGTTTGTTCTTTTGCAAGCAGCCTAGTCTCCACATGAATGATAACTATAGGAAAGACCTGACCTGGTGCCAATGCAGTTCTTATTGTAACTGGCATCAATGCGCATCAAAAGCGAAATTCGCAATGTTAAAAGATAGTGCTCCCAGCTGAAAAACAAAAATGCTCTTGTTTCTGAAAGGTAAGGATAAAACGACTTGTATGGGAACTGTTCTATAAAATTGCAACGGGGCTTAGAACGCAAAAGCTTTCATTGCCTTGACATTAGGGTGAAGTTAAGGACGAAGTAGATGAACATGAGAATTTAGTGGAGCTTCCATTAAGAAGGAGATATATGATGATTCAGATGTTGTTTAACATAACAATCTGCCCCACTTATGTTTATTTATGGAATCTACCTTCTAACCATCATTTTCACAGTCTAGCTGAATCTTTTGGCTCTTTTAAAAGCTTTTGTTACAAAGCTTGTGCATATCATGCAAAAAATTTAACAAGAACTCTAGAAAATGAACGGCATAATGGAGCAAACATTCCTACTATTCTTTGTTTATCTTTGAACATGAAATGATATCAAAATTTCAAGTCGAAATAGAAAGAAATCCTTGATAATTTATTTCACTCGTAGACCTAAAAAGGAGTTCAGCCTCTTGATCATTGTACCTGAATCTTAACAGGTAATCTGGAAAGTCGTAAAAATGTTTCAGCTGAATGTACTAAAACAATCACAACATCTAGTTGCAACTATGGAATAAGATCGCTTTTAAACCAACACTGTTCCAATGCAAAAAGGCTTAGCAACTCGAAATAACGGTTTGAAATGTTTTTCACGTGCAGCTTTGAGGGAAATTAGTTTGAAAAGTGGGAAGAGAAAACTATTGATATTAGATGTGTAATTCATTCTCTCAATTCTGAAAGAAATGGACGAGAAGGCACGGCAAGAAGGACAGGTGCGGAGAAATATCAACAATTAACAGCTGTCATTATAGCCAGAAATACGAACTTTGATTGCAAGCTTTGAGAAGTCTTTCGTTTGGCAAAAAGACTTAAACGCGTGAATATGTTGCGATGTCATCAAACTCGCCATGGAAAGGAGAATTTGTTTCGCAATGCACAGTCTGCAACCTTTCACAAAGAAATGGAAGGCATTCAGAGACACAAACAAAGTAGTTATAGAAACTCTAAATACTACTAGAAGATTCATCAACAGTATAGCATCTGGCTGGCTGGTTAGAAAAGCTTACTAGGAACTTTGTGAGCGTTATCGTATTAACATAAGCATGTTTTAATACTGCAAGCTATATACTGCAAGCTATACAGCCATCCTTTAGGTAAAAATGATCCCTAAAGAGAACAGATTCCTGTACTTGTGTGTTTGCAATGTCAAAGTTCCCAAATAATATTCAGCAAGAGGTCAACATTCCTTATGGAGTGCATATAACATAAACATAAAATGATGCCCCTAAATATATAGTGATAAGCATTTCAAAATAATTTGACAAGCAGTGCCTACTTTCATTTTTCCTTTTTACTACATGACATGATTTGGATAGCTGCTCGCTGACAATTCTTATTCATTCTTTCAAATTCTTATCCCTTGAAATCGGGAGTTTGCGACACCTACAAACAATGGAGGTTGAAAGTGATCAATATTATATCAGTGTTAAACATGAATAAAACTTTGGATTTACCAAAGAGAACCTTCCTAAAAGAGAACCTTCCTAAAGCCTTCTTAGTTATTCAGCATAAACCTTGTGGTACAAGTGAATTTAACAGCGATTCATTTAATTTCTTCTAAAAATCAACAGTTTAACCGGAGTTCACTTTCAAAATGCACACCAACTCTTGCCCTCCCTAAATTTCAGATGATTGCCTACAGAGTTTCCTCGCGAGTATCCCATCCAACAAGCAACCCATCCAAAAAGCAGCACCCAATCCAAAAACCGCATGATATTTAAGAAATGCAATTGGAATTTGAATACAACTAGCATATGTTTCTTATATGGCTTTAGGTAGAAGGTGGGTCGTTGGGTGCGATGTACCTCTTATAACTTCCGCGACATCTTCTACCTTGGCAAGTCTTGTAAGCCTCCTTAAAATGCATGAACTTCAGATGAAATCATTTTGAAAGATAGACTCTATATCATGCAAGCTTCCATGCCCCTGTACCCTAGAATTGTGCAGAAGCTGATGTGGCGCTTTAAGTGGTGGCTTTGGTATGGTCACGTTCCCGTCATTTTCCAATCCCCCCTTTGAAATTACTACCCACATCCCTGGCCAGCTCGCCACAAAGCAAATACTAACTCAGATGCTAATCATAGTTAGTTTGAGAAACCACACGAATCGCGGTGATGGTGCTTCGAAAAACGGACGTATTTTATAGAGCTAAATATCATTATCATGAAATAGTGAAAACCTTAGGGAAAATATTTGTCTTCTGCTGCGATCAGAGAAAACATGCTTGTCACGTTTCAGCTTGGCCTTGTCTTCCTACGCAGTGTAAAGAGATTATATTCTAGAAGCGCTTAGCTGAAGGGTGATAAACAAAGGTGCCCAGAATAAACTACTGTGTAACAGCCTCTGTCTAAACATTTTTTCTCACTGCCGTTAAAATGTTTCTAACATTCACTTTACAGTGACGGGTCGAATTTACGAGTACTTTCAAAAATGTTAAGCTAAAAAAGGCTTTTAATCTTCTTTGGCAGTGTTGTATAGAAAATCTTCACAAATTATCTAGTTGAATACAGCGAGAATGTTCAAATGACAAAGATATCAATGAAATAAATAGAATCTTGGTAACTTTTAATTAAACAGAGAAGAAGAAAGGATTTAGTCATTGGGAGGTTCTTTATGGCAGGCACGAATATATAAGTTATTCAAAATGTAATAAATAAATGCTAATTATATGGAGTTGGCTTCACAAAAGAAAAGAAATATAATTACTGTTGGCTTTTGCTACAAGTCTCTTTCCCAGATTATGAGAAACTTCTATTCTTTGACAAATAAACAATCTTTTATCCTGCAGCAGGAAATTGCCCTATGACAGATTTTTACTTTCTTTAAAAAGCGCCTTAAGTGAAGTCAGAATCAAGCAGCAGCCTTACTGTAAACTTCCATTTGAAAATAAAAACATTGAGATGAAAAATTCGATTTAGACTGGTACGTAGACAAAGAGCATGAAAATAGTATCACTTGCTTTGCTAGAGCTTTGATTAAATGACAGTCGAGAATAGTTGGTATCGGAATAGCAATTCAAGAAGCAAGGAGGTCGGACCTTCAGCGAATCTCGCTAGCATTTACATCGATTATTAGCAAGTTCCTTGCTTATGAAGAAATGGTACTGGCATATTTACTTCAAAAACCAAGCTAGCTGTCAGCAGCATTATTTTAAACAAATTTTAATATGGGCAAGTAAATAAATGGTTGTACAATGTTGAGATTCCACATAAGATGGGCTGAATAAAAATTGTTTGAAAGCGTTTTAGTTTAAAGAAAGAGACAGAGATCTTGAAACATATAATTGAAATGAAGTGAAAATGGAATAAAGAGAACGATTTGTAACATCTGATGTCTTTGTTAGATTTGAAGTCTTTCC